CTTGTCAGATTATCCCGGCTCTCCCGGGGTCCTCTGCATTTCCATGTATCTTAGAATGTTTGCCAATTTCTGCCCACACCCCTGGCCCCCCAAGAGACCCACTGAGATTTTGACTGGGATGTCACTCAACATATAGATCAATTTGGGAAGAAGTGACACCGTAATAACATCGAGACTTCCAGTCCCTCCTTAGATCATTACACTCAGTAATCTTTTATTTGTCTGGCTTTATTTTCTCAGTAATCTTTCATACTTTTCAATAGCGAGGTCCCACAAAGGTTTTCCTAGACTTAGTCCTAGATGTTTGATCTTCAGTGATATTTAAATGTTTCAATTTAGATTTGAGTGTTGTTAGCAAGTAGAAATGTAACTGATTTTATTTTGGCGTGGTGTTGACCCTGTGTCCAGAAGGCTTGCTCAGTTCACATGACAGCTCTAAGGGTTTGGTTATTCTCTGGCTTGCCAGTGTACACGATCGCATGGAGTATGCAGAGTGACAGTTTTCCAAACTTTATGCTTTTCTTCCATATGCCTTTGCTACAAGGCATTATCTAAATGCCTTAATGAACATGTGTTACTTTCATAAGCAGTGTATCATCTGGGGTGTGTGTGTGGGAGTGAGGAATATATGTTTGTTAGTAAAATGGAAGAAACTGAAATTCACAAGTAAAAAACAATTAGTCAATCCCACCATCACGCATTTTCAGTTTCCCTATATCCAAACCAAATTGACATCTTATAATTCTTTTCACCTTGATTTTTTTCCCGCATTAAAATACCATGCACGGGGCCTCCCTAGTGGCACAAGGGGTTAAGACACAACCTATGAAGTCCGCAGCCACTGCAGCACGAGTTCAATGCCTGGCCAGGGAGCTACCCACAGGGCGCAGCAGACCTCTCCTGTCTCCCCGCTGCTCCCCTCAGCAGTGGATTTCAGTAGATCCGCCTGTTCTGCTCCCCACTTTGTCACTGGTGAGTCCTCTCACCCCCTGCACCTCTGGTCTGTACCCCAGTTCTTCAATGCACAAGTAAATAAATCTTTTTTAAAAAATACTATGCAAAACCCCCAAGAGATTCAACATAGTGCTGGAAGTTCGAGCCAAAGCAATTAGGTAAAAAATGTCTGACGTCTTGATTGTGGTGATTGCTATATACGTATAATTTGTCCACTCATCTGTATACTGGAAATGGGTGCATTTTATTGCGTATAAGTTATACCTCTAAAAAAGTGATTTAAAAAAAACTCCTATGACATTAAAAGACCAAAAAAAATACATTCTGGGAAATTTTTCTAGTTAGACTTTGTTTATATGGCCAAATAGTTTCCTACTGTTTCAGTGGGCCATGCTTTATTTTACCAACCCCCTTTGGATAGAAATTTAGTTTTTCCTCTTCAGTTTCTCACAGTTACAAATACTGTTTCAGTGACCATCTTACAGTCCCGTCTTTGCGCAATTATTTGTCTAATTATTTCTTTAGGAAAAAGTTCCAGAATTGCAACTTCAGGGCCAAAAGACACTCAATGGTGGGGCCTCCCTGGTGGCGCAAGGGGTTAAGTCTCAGCACTATAGAGCAATCCGTAGCCACTGTAGCACCAGTTCAATCCCCAGCCAGGGAGCTGACCCACACGGCGCAGCAGACCTCTCCTGTCTCCCCGCTGCTCCCCTCAGCAGTGGATTTTGGTAGATCTGTCTGTTCTGTTCCCCACTCTGTCTCTGGTGAATCCTCTCACCCCCCCACCCCAACACCACTGGCCTACACCCCAGCTCTTGTATGCATAAATAAAAATAAACCTTAAAGGGCCTCCCCGGTGGCGCAGCGGTTGAGTGCTGGGCTGTGAAGCTGCCCACAGCCTCTGCAGCGCCAGTTCAATCCCTGGCCACGGGCAAGGGTCCCACATGGCGCGCAGACCCCTTCTGCCGCCTGCGGCTCCCCTCAGCAGTGTACTTCGTCAGTCTGTCCGCTCTGCTCTCCACTCTGGTTCTGGTGAATTCTCTCACCCTCCGCACTTCTGACTGTACCCAGTGCTTGTATAAATAAATCTTTAAAAAGTAAAATAAAATAAACCTTAAAAAAAAAAGGACACTCAACGGCAATAGATATTAGCAACTTATAGTCCAGGATATTTGTGCTAATTTACACTCCCACCAACATACATTAAAACAACAATTAGGGCCTCCCCCGTGGCGCAGCGGTTGAGCGCTGGGTTGCGAAGCTGCCCGCAGCCTCTGCAGCGCCGGTTTGATCCCCGGCTGCTCCCCGGCCACCGGAGGAGGGTCCCGCATGGCGCGCAGACCTCTCCTGCCGCCCGCTGCTCCCCTCAGCAGTGTCCTTCGGTCCTTCTGCCTGTTCTGCTCCCCGCTCTGGCGGATTCTCTCACCCTCCCGCGCCTCTGACTGTGCCCAGTGCTTGCATAAACAAATAAACAAACAAACAAATAAAACATGCCTCTATTAAAAATAAATAAATAAATCTTTAAAAAAGAAAAAAGACGACGATTAGACATTTTCATCAATGCTGCCTGTAATATCTACACTCTGCCAATGAGGCTGCTGAAAATGATAGTCTTTTACTGACCAATAGAGAAATTGAGCATCTTCTCAATATCTTTATACTTTTATAAATTATTGCTGACCCTGTTTCTTTCTGTATCTATCATCAATCTGTGTCTATTATGTTTGGTTATTTGTTTCTCATTGATTTATGAGTGCTTTTTACATTAAGGATATTTATGCTCTTACATGTATGTTGCCAATGTTGGCATTAGACCTAAGCCTTCCTTATTCTTTTATTTCATATATTTCTGGCATTTATTCTTTTTTAGAAATAGTAAATTAAGGCAGATCTGTTAGCCTTCCTGTTTATAACTCCTTGATTTTGTCTTGCTTTAAAAGCCTTTCTTACTCAAAAATAGTTTAAAATAGTCCTTCATATCTTTTCATTGTGCTGTATGGCCTTACACTCGTTTAACTCTTTAATCCATCAGAAATGAAGTTTGTGTTCAATATGAAGCCACGTCAAAATTTTTTCATAGGCTGGCCCCAACCCTGTTCCCAGTGATTTTTTTTTTTAAATAGAGGCATGTTTTTATTTATTTATTTATTTATTTATTTTTGTTTATACAAGCACTGGGTACAGTCAGAAGCGCGGGAGGGTGAGAGGATTCACCAGAGCCAGAGCGGGGAGCAGAGCAGGCAGAAGGACCGAAGGACACTGCTGAGGGGAGCAGCGGGCGGCAGGAGAGGTCTGCGCGCCATGCGGGACCCTTGCCCGTGGCTGGGGAGCGGCCGGGGATCGAACCGGCGCTGCAGAGGCTGCGGGCAGCTTCGCAACCCAGCGCTCAACCGCTGCGCCACCGGGGAGGCCCCTGTTCCCAGTGATTCGAGATGGTATTTTTGTCACATTCCAGACCCCTTCACGTGTGAATAACCTAAACATGCACTTGTTCTAGGACTCAACATTCTGTGCTGTTGACCTGCCTCTCTGCTGCGCCGTCCACCTGTTGTAGATAACTTAGTGTGAATGCGGCCTGCATTCCAGAGTGCAAGGGAGGTGTGACACTAGAAAATCTATTGCTGCAGTCACAGATCAAAGCACCGACGTCGCCCACATCATTCATGCCCCTCCAGTGGGCAAATCCAAACGTGAACAAATCCAAACTCCTGCACAGTGACCAGATCCCCAGGCCCCCCGTCCGTGTCTCCACCCCTATCGGCGAGCCTGCTCACCCACCCTCACCCACCCTGGTCCAGCAGCCCTGCCCTTCGTCTGCTACTCCAGCGTGCAGGGCATTTGCACCTGCTATTCCCTCTGCCTCAAATGCTCTTCCCCCAACTCTGCACACCGAGCTCTTTTGCTCGTTCTCACTTCACAGTCCGCTCCCCTGCAGCTTTATGGATACCAAGCTCCGCCCCCTCCCGCCCCCGCCCCATCACTCAGCTCAGCTCATTCACACTGGGGGGATGTAGCCAGTGACCCCTCCCGAGTGAATAGCACTGAGACCTGAAAACCATGGGCTGGAAGGCCCGGGTCTGACAGCGGCAACAGGAGTGACCTCTGTCCGTCTCCTCTCCTAGGCTGGCGGAGGAGAGCTGGCTGCTCCCTGCCCCCTGAGATCCTGGGGCCCTGCAGGAGGACATGCACCCCGGCAGGTGAGGGGAAGGGCGCTGGGGTCCTCAGCTGCTCACCTTAGCTGAGGGAGGGACATGCGGGGTGGGGCTGGCAGGAGGGGTTGGAGGTGAGGCCTTGGCAATGGAGCCATGAAGTCTGGGATGCAGCGGGTGGGACTCGGTGGGGCTGCGCCTCTGTCGGTGTCGCTGTCCCCGCAGAAAGCGAGGCAGTCTAGGGGACGGGAGCCCTGTGCCTGCTGGAGACCCCAGGGAGCCCCTTGGAATGAGACTGCCTCTCCTGCAGACCCCGCCCTCCCGCCCTCTCTTTCTCTCTCACCTAAACAGGCTTCAGCCCTTAGAGCAGCTTAGATGTACGGAAAACGGCGCGGAAAGTGCAGGCTTCCCCCCCACACGCACATCGCCCGCTGCGGCCTCCCCCTCGCTGGTGACGGCCTCGCCCTTATCCAGAGCCGGGCGCTTCCCCGGGGTGCCCGCGGGTCGGACACACGCGTGCAGATGCGAGGCCACCACTGTCCACACAGACAGGGCCCTGCCCGGACCCTCCACACTCCCTCCCCCCCAAGCCTAGAGCTGCACAGCAGCAGCGGGCGGCGTCCTCTGTCCCCGGGCGCAGGCTGCCCTGCTCGGAACCCACCGCCATTTGCAGGTCACAGAGGAGGCCACCGCGGCGCAGAGAGCTCGGGGGCCTGTCCGGTGTCCCTCGGCCAGCACGTGGCAGGGCTTGGGTTCCAGTGGGGGCCCCGGTTCTGATCCGCTAGATCTCCCCACTTCCTGGGGGGCAGACCGTGGCCCCGAGGCTGGGAAGGAGACGCCAGCCCCAGAGGCTGGCTGATGGCCCGCCCCCCCACAGCTCCCGGCGGCCCCACCGACCCCATGAGGAATGAGGAAGCAGGAGGTGCGGACGGGCGGGGAGGCTGGCCAGGGCCCCGGCGCCGGCTCCCCAGCCGAGCAGGTGAAAGCTCTCGTGGACCGGCTGGCAGGGAAGGGCAGTCAGGGCCCCCGGCCCTGCTGACGCCCCCCAGGACGCCGGACCCCCCGCGGGGAACTCTCGGCAATGGTAGGCAGAGGAGGGTCTGCCTGGGCCCGGCCCCCTCCGGTCCCCTATCTTCCCAGCCCCGCCTCCGGTCTCTGTCCCCACAGACTCCAGGACGCAGAGGCACCGGGAGGTCCTGCTGAGCAGGGTGGGCGGCGGCCAGGAGCTGGGCGGCCCCTCGGCCAGGCTGAGCAGCCTCCTGCTGGTGGAGGGGCTGACGGACCTGCAGCTGAGGGAGCATGACTTCACGCAGGTGGAGGCCGCCCGCGGGGACTGGCCCTCCACCAGGACCATCGCCCTGGACAGGCTCTTCCTGCCCCTGACACGGGTGTCCATCCCGCCCCGCATCTCCATCACCATCGGGGTGGCCGGCGTGGGCAAGACCAGCCTGGTGAGGCACTTCGTGTGCCTCTGGGCCCGGGGGCAGGTCGGCCAGCACTTCTCGCTGGTGCTGCCTTTGACCTTCCGGGACCTCAACACCCATGAGCGGTTGTCGGCTGACAGGCTGGTCCGCTCTGCCTTCCCGCACGTGGGGGAGTCCAGCCTGGCTGCAGCTGCCCCGGCCAGAGTCCTCCTGGTCCTGGACGGCTTGGACGAGTGCAAGACCCCCCTGGACTTCGCCAACACGGTGCCCTGCACCGACCCCAAGAAGGAGATGCAGGTGGACCAGCTGATCACCAACATCATCCGGGGCAACCTCTTCCCGGAGGTGTCCATCTGGGTCACCTCCCGCCCCAGCGCAGCCAGCCAGATCCCGGGGGGCCTCGTGGACCGGCTGACGGAGATCCGGGGCTTCAAAATGGAGGAGGTCAAGGCGTGTCTGGAACAGATGTTCCCTGGGGACCCGGCGCTCTCGGACTGGGCCCTGGGCCAGGTGCAGGCCAACCGGAGCCTGTACCTCATGTGCACCGTCCCGGCCTTCTGCCGGCTGGCGGGGTCAGTGCTGGGCCACTGGCATTGCAAGGGACTCGGGCCCCAGGACGCAGAGCTGTGGCCGCCAAGGACCCTGTGTGAGCTCTACGCCTGGCACTTCAGGATGGCGCTGGGCGCCGAGGGGCAGGACAGGGGCCGGCCCAGCCCTCGCATCGAGCAGGTGGCTCACGGCGGCCGCAAGCTGGTGGGCACGCTGGGCCGGCTGGCCTTCCATGGGCTGGTCAGGAGGAAGTACGTGTTCTACGAGCCAGACCTGAAGGCATTCAGCGTGGACCTCGCGCTGCTGCAGAGCGCGCTGAGCAGCCGGCTCCTGCAGCGGGAGGACACGCTGGGCCCCTCGGCGGCCTACTGCTTCTCCCATCTGTCCCTGCAGGAGTTCACGGCGGCCGCCTACTACTGCAGCGCATCCAGGAGGGCCATCTTCGACCTCTTCCCCGAGGGCGGTGTGTCCTGGCCCCGGCTGGGCTTCCTCACGCACTTCAGGAATGCGGCCCAGCGGGCCATGCAGGCCGAGGATGGGCGGCTGGACGTCTTCCTGCGCTTCCTGTCTGGCCTCCTGTCCCCGCGGGTCAATGCCCTGCTGGCGGGCCCCCTGCTGGCCCCGGGCGAGCACTGGGGCCAGCGGGAACAGGTGGCCGAGCTCCTGCAGGGCTGCCTGCGGTCCGATGTGGCCGTGTGCGCCCGGGCGGTCAACGTGCTGCACTGCCTGCACGAGCTGCAGCACACAGAGCTGGCCCGCAGCGTGGAGGGCGCCCTGGAGAGCGGGGACCTGGCCGGGGTGACCACTGCCCCGCACCGCGCTGCCCTGGCCTACCTGCTACAGGTGTCGGACGCCTGCACCCGTGAGGCAGACCTGTCCCTGCGCCTCAGCCAGGGCGTCCTCCAGAGCCTGCTGCCCCAGCTGCTGTACTGCCGGAGCCTGAGGTGCGTGCATGTGCAAGACGAGTGTGGGTGCATGTGTGTGCAGGGGACAGGTGTGCACGCAGGGCACGTGTGTGTGTGCAGGATGAGTGTGTGTGTGCAGGGCATGGGCGTGTGCAGGTGCAGGGTATGTGTGTACAGGGTGTATGCGCGTGTGCAGGACATGCGTGTGCGGGGGCATGTATTTGTGCACAGAGTATGTGCGTGCGGCATGTGTGTGTGTGCAGGATGACTGTGTGTGTGTGGGGCGTGTGCGTGCGGGGTGTGTGCGTGTGCAGGGCATGTGTTCCTCTCCCCGCGGGTCTCTCCCTGACCAGTGTCTAGGACTCGGCCCAGCCACTCAGCCAGGTGCTGGAGGTACCGGGAGGGCCATCCTCCCTCTGAAACCTATGGGGGAACCCTTCCTAGCCCTCAGTTTGAGGTGCTGCCAGCACCCCCGGATCGAGGGCATTCATCCCAGGGTGTCCATGGCCACTGGGCCGCATGCTCGGGCCCCTCGAAGGACCATCACCCAGGCACAGCCTGCCTACTCCAGTCACAGCTCCTGGTAACTGCTGCCCGATAAGGGAGCGCCTCGGGCAATGGGGTTAGAATTCCAGCCCGTCCTCTTGGGGGTCACGATTCAGCACAGAACTCCCGCGAGCTGGGCTGGTGCTGATGGGAGTGGCACCCACGCCCCCCGGCCCCCACCCCGACCAGCTCTGACCTTGTTGAGGGGGTGGGAGGCAGGATGGCAAACGGGGCCTGGCAGCTGTGCCCACTCGTGGTTGGGCATGAGTGGCCGGAGGACAGACCTGGGGCTCCAGCCTTGCTGGGGCTGGGCTCTGTGTGGACAGCGCATGGGGATGGAGGCGGGGGACCCAGCCTGGGGCCGCTGCCCCCTCGCGGGCCTTCGCCAGGGGCCTCACTCGCTGCCTTCCGAGCAGGCTGGACACCAACCAGTTCCAGGACCCGGTGATGGAGCTGCTGGGCAGCGTGCTGAGCGGGAAGGACTGTCGGATCCAAAGGATCAGGTAGCCCCGACCGGGAGTGCCCTCTGCTGCCCCCCCCCCCCGCCTCCTCTCCACCCAGCTGGCCAGGGCCGCTGGTGAGGGTGGGATGTTGTCAGAGGGAGACGGCCCGTACGCCCTCCGGAGGAAACACGCGGACACCACCACTCGGGGTGGCTGTGGCGTCCCCCCTCGGCATGTGACGACAGTCAACTCTCGTGTATGGGGCAGGAGCCCAGACAGAGCGCAGAGGTCCTTCTGAATGCAGGGCCCCCTTCACGGGAAGAGACATGGGCTCTTCCCATCCCTGTGGTTGGCCCCCAGGGCCACATCCCTGCTGGACAGGCCCAGGGCGTCCTCTGAAATCCCGCGGGACTCAGGGAATCTTACTTACAAGAACAATAAGAGCCCCACAGGGGAAGGTTCTAGAAAGCCAGAGCTTCCCCTAACTTGAAGGTGGTCAAGTTAGTATAGAAGGTGATCAGGTGAGTCTTCGCGCTTTCAGCAGCAGCAGAACCCATTACAGCGACAGACCAGGCGAGCTGCTGGGAGCCACGGGGTTGAAAGCAGAGGAGGTGGGGCTCCAGCGACCCTCTGGTGGCTCCGAGGCCCGTCTGGGGAACCCCAGGGACCCCTGAAATGGGTGGGCCTGGGAAGAACTTCATCAGCCAGCACTTCTGGGGGGGTGCGTGAAGCAGCCGCGTAGCCCTGCGCGCAGCTGGAGCCGGGTCTCAGGGCACCTCCAAGGCTGCCTCGCCTTCCCTCTCTGCGAGAGCAGGGCGCGGGGCTCTGGGGTGCTGAGTCGCCTCCAGCAGGGGAGACCCACCTTCCTGTGCTCAGAACCCGTGCCAGCCAGGAGTGGGGGTGCTCAGGCCCTGGACCTGGGCTGCTGTGTGTGTGCACCCTCCCAGGGCGGGTGCTCCACAGCCTAGCTAGGATGGCGAACCCCCCCCCCCACTGTGGACTCAGGCCCCCACCCCCACCAAGGCCAGACCTGGCCCGGTGCAGAGGTCCTGGGGGCCTGGTGCTGGGCTCAGGGCTCAGCTCCGCCCAGCCCAGGCTGGGTGCTGGGGCCCAGGCGGGTGGGCCTGGCGTTGAGGACGACAGACCATGACTCCCCCCACCCCGCAGCCTGGCTGAGAACCAGATCAGCAACAAAGGCGCCAAAGCTCTGGCCAGATCTCTCCTGGTCAACAGAAGCCTGACCGCTCTGGAGTAAGTGGGAGCAGGGTGCCCCAGACCACCGGGCCCCAGGGTGGGGCAGGCCTGGAGCAGCGGGCGCAGACCAGTGGGGCACCAGGGTTGGGGGGCGGGGGTCATCACCTCCTCGCTGCGCAGCCCAAGCCCCCTCGTGCCTCAGACCCGCTTTCTCCCCGCTTTTGGGCCTTTGGGAAACTCCTTCCTCCTTCCTCCAAGGAAGGCTCTCTGGCCAGCTCCACCAAACGCGAAACCCCGAACCCCCAGAGTCCTGTCCTTTGAGGGGCACAGATTTAAAGGCCCCAGCCTGGCGGGGCCGGTGAGAGGATGGCGCTCTCTTCCAGCCTCCGCAGCAACAGCATCGGGCCGCAGGGGGCCAAGGCGCTGGCGGATGCCCTGAAGATTAACCGCACCCTGACTTCTCTGAGGTAGGAGCCCCAGCCTGTCCCGGGGTCCGCTCAAGACGGCGGCGCCTCCCCGTGTGGAGCCGCCTCGGGGCGTGCTTGTCGCCACTGAGCGGGAGACCCCCGAGTTCTGAACGTGCTGTCCGCGTGTCCCCCGAGGAGCGAGGAGCCTGGGCGCACTGGAAAGTGCACCTTCTGGAAGGTTCCTGCGGGCGGGCCGCGCCCTCCCTGGCCGGCGCCCTTGGACTTGAAAGTTCTCCCGGAGCCCAAAGTCACCTCGAGCACCGGCCAGAACCATTTACATGTGCTTGAAAGTCACGTTTTTAAAGTGCGCGACTCGGCAGCACCGGAGCAGCCCCCGTGGGAGCGGCCACCGCCTCCCTCTGGCTCGGACGCCCTGGCCGGCCCTGACCCGCCCCCGGGCCCACACCGCACCCTGACCCGCACCCTGACCCGCACCCTGACCCGCACCCTGACCCTCACCTTGACCCTCACCCTGACCCGCACCGCACCCTGACCCGCACCCGCACCCGCACCCCGCCCTCCCCGGCGGCCGCGCCTGGACTTACCCCGTCTGGCCCCTGGGTCGGTTGCACCGTCCGGCGGCCCCAGGGCAGCAGGGCTGTGTCCGTGAGGCAGAGGGCGCTGCTTCTGCTTCTTGGGCGGTCCCGCGGCGGGGGCGCCCCGGGGCGACGCGCTCCTTCTCAGCGCAGCCTCCAGAGCGCGCGACGGGGCGGGGGCGCTGACCGGGGCGGGGGCGCTGACCGGGGCGGGGGCGCTGACCAGGGCGGGGGCGCCGACCAGGCCGCGGCCGGGGCTGCAGCGAGCTCGCGTGCGCGGCGGGGCCGGGCTGGGCCGAGTCCGGCGCTCGCGGGCCCAGCGGGCCCTGGACGCCAGAGCAGGCCGCGGGGAGGACGCGGCAGGCCCGGGCCTTGCTGGAGCCGCGGGCACCGGCCGCTCGGGACAACGCTGTCCAGGAGGGACCGGGCGGCAGGTCTCGAGGGTCACCCCGGCCCCCTGGGGGCGCGGCCGCCTGCTCCCTGCCTCTTTCAAGGCAAAGGGAAAATAAAACTTGCCGCCGCTTTACCACAAGCGAGAGGGAGCCGCAGGGCCGGGCCCTCAGCAGCCGCGGTTCTGTCGCGGGGGGCGGACTTGGGCCCCACAGGAGAAGCGCGGCCGCCTGTCCCTCTAGGAGGAGCGCAGCCCCGGGAGCGCCTCCCTCCCTCAGGCCTGGTGTGGAGGACGGCGCTGGGGGGAGCGGAATCTAAGTGGAGGGGCCGTCGGGAGGTTCAGGCTGGTCTGGGTGGAGGCACCCGGCGGAGAGGGGCCCTGGCGAGGGCCTGGCGGGGCTGGCATGTGAGGCCCCGTTTGGAGGCCGCTGGACACTGTGTGCTGGTTACGGTTTCCAGCCCGCAGCGAGGGAGGGCCCGGGAGCCTGACTCCGCTCTCGGCCTCGGGATGTCTGTCCGTTGGCATCGCCTTGGCAACTGTCTCCAGACCTTTCCAGAAGCCACGCCCCCAGGCTGGCCCCTGCAGAAGGCACTGACCCTCACCTTGACCAGGTGTCCTTTACTTGGGGGTGGCCGTGGCCAGCTCTGCTGAGGACCTCTCCCCTCCCACAGCCTGCAGAAGAACAGCATCGGGCCCCCGGGGACCCAGAGGATGGCGGACGCCCTGAAGCAGAACAGGAATCTGAAGGAGCTCATGTGAGAAACGCACGGGCCAGGCCGGCTTGCTCTGTGGGCGGCACAGCGATATCTTAATAAATATATGTGATGGGTGGGTGGGTGGGTGACGGAGGGACAGGTCGATGGGGGTGGCTGCCTGAATGGATAGTTGAAGGTGGGTGCAGGCTTTGGACTTGGAAAGCACTGGCCCAAGAAAATGGAAATCCCAGATTCCCAGGATTGGGTGAACCCCAAATGTCTGGGGTTCATATTACTGCCTCCCAGCATTTCCTGAACCCCTTCTCATAAGGTATAACTACCTTTCACTGAAGAGTTTCCCCAGGCCCTGACCCCACCTTGAGCTCTCACGGGCAGCGGGGTGGGCTCTGGCAGAGGCTACTGTCCAGATAGCCTCGGGCAGGAAGCATGTGAGGAGCGCCCTCACGTCCCTCACGCCCCTGGGACAACAGGGAGAGCACCCTGGACCCCTATGTCCAGGTGCTGCTCGGCTGGCCACAACCCGTGCCCCCCTCCTGCAGGCTCTCCAGCAACAGCATCGGCGATGGAGGTGCCAAGGCCCTGGCTGAAGCCCTGAAGGTGAACCAGGGCCTGGAGAGCCTGGAGTGAGTTCCCCCTTCTGCCTTCGGTGGCTGGGGCAAGGGTGGTCCCCCCAGACGGGGACTCACTGGGTCCGTCCCAGTCAAGGCACTGCTGCAGATGGCGACTCGGGTCTTGCACCACCTCCCCGTTTCCTGGGACAGTAGGGCGGTGTTGGTTCTGGAGTGTTCCGAGCCACAACGGCACGAGCTTCCCTACAGACCTGGCGCAGGCAGCTAAAGAAGGGTGGGCTGCGGGGGCCTGGGCAGGGGCACAGCACCCCCATGCCACGTCCCTGCCGGCACCCAGGTCGGAGCAGGATCTCAACCCTGGGGCTGGGGGCTGGGCCTTGGGGCCCTGACCTGTAGGGTTTGGGAGGTATGGGGTGGCACTCACCCCCGAAGCCCCCATCCCGGGTTGAACCCAGGCCTGCCGTCCTGGCCGGGCCCCGGGCAGCCACACTGGGTTCCTCTCCCCTTGCAGCCTGCAAAGCAACTCCATCAGCGACTCGGGGGTGGCGGCGCTGATGGGGGCCCTCTGTGCCAACCGGACCCTCCTCAGCCTCAAGTGAGTCCCTGCCTCCCTGCCAGGCACAGGGGGCCTGTGGGGTGGGGGAGGAGAGGCGGGCCCTGCAGGCCTGGCGGGGGACATCTGTGGTCAGTCCTGGAGCCCAGCACCCCCGTTCTTCCTGCTGCTGCCTCCCCGCACCGCGGCCTGCCTCCGCTCCCACGCCTCCCAGGCCCAGGCCTCACCCCCTGCCTCCTGACCTGTCCTGTCCCGTGGACTGTCCCGTCTGGCCTCTCCTGCCTGGCCAGCAGCTCGGGTCTTCTCCCCTCAGCCTCCGAGAAAACTCCATCAGCCCCGAGGGAGCCCAGGCTCTGGCTCGCGCGCTCTGCGCCAACAGCACCCTGAGGAACCTGGAGTACGTGCCCGCCCGCCCGGAGCCCGCCCAGGGCCCTGGCCACCCCCTAGGCCGGCTGACCTGGACAGGGGAGGGGTGGCCAGAAGACCCCCCACCTGCCCCGACACAACTGCAGGCCACAGGCGCGGGGTCGGGGTGTGTCCGGGCAGTGCTGCTGGCGGGACCCGTGCGGAGCCTCCCGGAGCCCCCCTCCCGGGCGGTCGGCTCCAGCACAGGGCCCCGTGTGCAGGCCAGACCCAGTGCGACAAGCCTGCGCGAGGCCCCCACGGGCCTGGGGGCAGAGGCTCCCCGCCAGCTCCCGCTCACGCGCCTTCCCCTCCTCGCAGCCTGACAGCCAACCTCCTCCGCGACCAGGGCACCCAGGCCCTGGCGGTGGCGGTGAGAGAGAACCGCGCCCTCACGTCCCTCCAGTGAGTCCACCGCGGGCCGCAGGGCCCGGCCCAGCCGGCTGACCCAGGAGACCCCGTTTGGCTTTGGGGGTTTCCCCGGTTGGCTGTGCACCGCCCGGTGCTCTCCTTCCTGAGGCTGACCCGGGGGGCCATGGTGGGAGGTGGGTGCCGTGTGTCACCTGCTGCAAGCAGGAGCCACTTGGGGTCTGATCGGGAGCCCCCGAACTTGCTGGGCTCGGCTGGGGCCACAGGGTCACGCCGGCCTGTGTCTGCCCGCCCAGCCTGCAGTGGAACTTCATCCAGGCCGGCGCTGCCCAGGCCCTGGGCCAAGCACTACAGCTCAACAGGAGCCTGACCAGCCTTGAGTAAGTGGGGCCCTCAGCGGCCAGGGGCAGGAAGGTCTGACGCCCCAGTGCCACTGCTCCGGGCGGCTGCTCCAGGCCCCGGGCGGCTGCTCCAGGCCCCGGGCAGTGTCTGTCCTTTGCTTCCTCGCTTTATTGCGCTGCAGTTCCCCATTCAAGGCACCCGGTTCACTGGTTTCTAGTTGAGAGCTGTGCAGCCATCTCTGTAAACGTGCAGTGTTTCCGGCACCCCAAAAGAAACCCCTCCCCACTAGCCATTACTCCTCAGTCCCCACCACTGCAGATTTACCTGTTCCAGATGTTTCGTGTCAATGGAATCCCACGACACATGTTGGGGGATGAACATCTCTCAGTTAGTGTGACGTCGGCCAGGTTCACCCAGGCAGCAGGTGTCAGGCCCTGCCTTCCCTTTTCGTGGCTGAATAATATTCCACGGCACACAGGGGCCACATTTTGTTCATCGGGTTTTCTGCCGATGGCTTTTGGGTGGTTCCCACTTCTTGGCTGTTGGGAATAAGCCGCTGTGGACACTTGTGCACGAGCCTCTGGGGACACAGGCTTTTGCTTCTCTCGCGTGTCCAGGCCACTGGGAACGAATCCTGGATCCCGTTGTAGTTCCAGTGACCCTTTTAGCCCTGGCTGCTTCTCCCTCAGCCTCCGGGACCCCACCTCTGGTTGGTGCTTCTGTCTGACTCTGAGATTCTGTGCCCCGGGTTCTGTCAGGACCCCTTTTTCTTGAAGGACGGCTCTCTGCTAGAGGCTCTGCTCGCCTCAGGCTCCAGTTTCCTACAAAGTCTCATGACCCCACCTTGAGACCCCAGACCTCTCCCCCGAGGCTCCTGCCAGAACTACGTCCCCAAGTCAGCTTCTCGGTCCCCATCTCCTGAACAGAAACATCGCCCCGCTCGCTCCGCTCTGCCCTTCGTGCCCAAAGCTATCGGTTCTCCTCCTGATGTCCCTCCACCCCCAACCCCGGGAGCCTGTCCCTGCATCCTGTGGGCCTGTCCAGGCCACAGCTCTGGTGCCCCGCGCAGGAGGGTGCTCACAGGAAGTAAAATGCCGGCGGGCGAGAATGTTCTTCATTTTCTAGTTGGCTTTGAAAAGTGTCCTCTTTTCTGCCCCAGGCCCTTCAGGCTTTCCGCAGGCTGACTGGGAGGCCGAGGGCAGGCTGCGCCCAGGGCGACCCTGGGGGTGTATCCTGCAGGATGGGGGGCGCCGAGTGACATCTGCAAGGCTCCACCTGGGTGGGCCGCGCGGGAGGGCTGCCCCGGGCCGGGCCGGCGCCCAGGCCTCCTGCTGTGTCCAGTTTACAGGAGAACTCCATCGGCGACGAAGGTGCCTCCGCGGTGGCCCGAGCGCTGAAGGTCAACACCGCGCTCACCGCCCTCTAGTAAGTGCCGAGCTGCGGCCATGCGGGAGCCCCCGCGCCCCTGCCCCTCGGGCACCTCCGCCTCCCGCTTGAGGGCGGTGTTTGCACTTCCAAATATCCGCCATCGGGTCGTCAAGCATGTATAGACAGTAAGAGTTAGGGCCCGAGGGGTGCCCGCCCCCAACGCGGCAGGACGCCAGCCCCGCCTCCTGCATCCACGGTGTCCAGTGGCCGCCCCGGGCATCCGACTGGACAGACCGCGGCCCACAGTCCAGGCTGCCGCCCGCGGCCGGGTGGGGGCAGCGAAGGCCTGTGGCGGGGGCCGGGCGGGCAGGCGGCCAGCTGTGCCCACGCGCGTCTCCTCTCAGTCTGCAGGTGGCTTCCATCGGTGCCCCGGGGGCCCAGGCGCTGGGGGAGGCGCTGGCTGTGAACAGAACCCTGCAGGTGCTAGAGTGAGTGCCCGGCCTCTGCCCCGCGGCCGCGCAGCTGCCTCCAGCACCCCCGTCCCGCTGCGCCCCTCCCCTGGGGGTCCTCTGGTCCTTGAGCGCCTGCTCTCCAGCCGGCCGTGCTCGCGCTGCCCCCGGCCCGAGGCGCCATGTAGGGGCCCCCAGGTGGCCCCGGCCACTGATCTCGGTTTGTGAGGAGATGCCGTGGCGCCGCGCAGGCGCCCGGCTGAGGGAGGGCTGCTGCTCCCGGCCCTGACCAGCCTTCCGGGCGGGGGAGGCGGGGGAGGTCGGCTTGGACGGGCCGAGCCCCTCCTTGGGTGTCCTTCCCCGGAGCCGAGTGGCGCGCCTGGGAGTGAGGAGAAGCTGCCCCTCGCGGTGCCAAACCTGGGCGGCCTCTGCCCGATGGCCGCGTCCCCTGGGGACGTGTCCTTGTCACCCGTCGACGGCCCCTGGGCCTCAGGCGTCCTGTCTTCCTGCAGTCTGCGAGGAAACGCCATCGGGGTGGCGGGAGCCAAAGCCCTGGCCGGCGCCCTGAAGGTCAACTCCAGTCTCCGGAGACTCAAGTGAGTGTCCGCCGACCCGCCGCGCAGAGCAGCCCCCCGCGGGCGCCCTGGAGGCCTCTGGAGCCGCTTCCTTCCAGGAGAAAGGCCAGCCCGGCCTCCGCGGGCCCTGCCGCGGCTGGGTTTGCCGGCGCCCCTCAGGCGAGCTCCGCGGTTGGCGCCTGTGTTGGGTCCTTCACGGCGCCCGCAGGGGCAGCCTGGCCGCCTGCAGACACCCCCGGGCCCAGGCGCCCAGGAAACAGGGTGCTGCTGCGGGCCCCGCTGGGCTCACAGGGCGTGTCCCTCTCTGCCCAGCCTCCAGGAGAACGCCCTGGGCATGGACGGCGCCATATGCGTGGCCACCGCACTGTCTGGAAACCACGGGCTCCAGCACATCAAGTGAGTGGGACCCTCAGCCTCCCCCGGCCCCCCCGGCTGAGCCCCCTCGGGCCGCCTGCCACCCTGTTCCCAGAGCCTGTGGCGGCTCTGCAGGGCACCTGGTATAAGAGGGCACCTGCGGGCGCCCTGAGGGAGGGCCCGGGGCCCGGGGGCTCACCCAAGCCTCCAACCAGGCCGTTCCGGCCCTTCCGCGCTCTCGCCAGCCTGTCCTGACGCTTCTCTCCTAGTCTCCAGGGAAATCACATTGGGGAGTCTGGTGCCAGGATGATCTCAGAAGCCATCAAGGCCAACGCCCCCACGTGCACGGTGGAAATGTGAGCGTCCCGGGAAGCTGCTGAACAGAAAGACCGTTTTCCAGGCTGCTTCCTGCGGCCCGGGGCTCCCAGGACAGCAGCTGTGCTGGCCTCCGGCGAGGAGGGTCAAGGTGCTACCGAAGGCGCCAGAAGGCGGCCACCGGCTCCCCTCCGGGCCAGCGTCGGCAGAGGCGGCATGGGTGCTCTGCCACAGGAGCTATTTATACCCCGAGGTCTTCACAGGCACCAACGATTTACTGTCATTGCTGCCTTTTTCCACGCACCCAGCAAGACGCGCCCCCACGCCGTGAAATGGGCCGCTGCGGCCCCGCCCAGGGAGGGGTCGGCTGCGCTCTCCTCTGAGGAGGAGCAGGCCCGAGGATGCTTAGACACGTACAGGGAAATTATGGGATGTGGGGGAAGAAAAACGAAGGCTTTCATTACAGGATATTGGGGATAGAAACAAAAAGATTCTCGACGGGTTCTGCCGCCTTTCACCCGTGACAACGCCTCTCAAAGGCACCGTCGTGTCGGCACGTCACTGGGCGCCCGGCACACGGGTTCTCAGCCGTGCGTCAGCCATGTTTCCTGGACTAGGTCCCTATGAAGGCAGGCGCCCTCAAGGGCCCGCGCTGAAAGAAAAGGATTCCAAATGGATGTTGTGGCTCTCGTCAGCCAGTAACCCAGGAAAGCACTTAGGAGGACAGTGCGAGATCGTCACCTTGAAGTCTGAAGAGGAAGCACTCTTGCAGAAGTTTCTTTGAGAAAAGCAAGCACCTCGGTGGATGCCAGAACCACAGTGAAAGCCGTGGGAAGGCAGGAGGGCCACGCGCCAGCCAGTCTCAAAGCATCTTCCCAAGAGGGAGCGTTCTGTAAGTGCTGCCTTCTTAAAAGTGATTCACGGACGGTAGGGCATCGCAGGCCGCCTCGGGGGTGGCCATGGACCGAGACTGACGTCTGGAAGGGGCCGTCTGAAAAATCCAGCCTGAGGGGAACTGAACAAGCAAAACAGAAGCAACCTCGCCTGTCTGCATGACGACAACGCCGCGAAAATACAAGACTGGGGACTGTTTTTAGTGAAAGGCAAGGTCTTGCGTCGTAGGCCAAGGGAGGGAAAGCGCTAAAGAGAACTTTTTTTTCCAGTCAGGCACATCTGAACACGGGCCTTGTGTAGTATTTATTGGATTGCTGGTTTTCTGAGATTTTTTCTGGGTCTAGAATTCTAAACTGAGAGTGTTTCCTTTTAGTACTTTAATGATCTTGCATGTCTTCTGGTTTGCACTGCTTCTGGCTGGGTGGAGAGCTCGGCAGAACAAGAGCCGTGGTAGCCGAATGCTAGAGAACGCTGTGCCTGCAGGGGCCTAGGGCTGGCGAGACCTCAGGGGCCAAAGACCCGGAGAAACCCAGTGTGCTCCCCGGGCACCCCGAGAGCAAACCGCGCCAGAGTGGGAAGAGCCCCTTCTCCGAAGTCCGCCAGGCTCCCTACTGACAACACCTAACGGGTGTTCTGGGCGGGGGAGGGAGGGATCTTCCCGGCGAGCAGCTGCACTCTCGCCGAGCTCGGCAAAAATGTGAATGTGGAACCGAGGCAATAAACTGATAACCTTCACGGTGGGATTTTTTTTTTTTTTGGTCTTTTTTTCATTTTGGACAGTTTCTATGCAGTATCTTCAGGGTCAGTAGAGTTTTCCTTGTGTGGTGTCTAATCTGCTGAGTTCCACCCAGCGAGTACCCCCCGCCCCACTTTCTTTTAAATCTAAAATCTAAGTTTTGGCTGAGGCTTCTTTATATCTTCTACCTCCTGAATGCTCACACTTCTCTACCATGTGAATATAAGGAATGTCATTGTAACTGTTTGAAGAATGTCCTTTTCTACTAATTCTGTAATTTCTCATCTTGCAGTCATTTCTGGGCCCTTCTTGATTTTTTCTCATTATGCCTGATAATGTTTCACTGGACACCAGACACTGGGAATTTTTTTTTTTTTAAAGATTTATTTATTTATTTATACGAGCACTCGGTACAGTCAGAAGCGTGGGAGGGTGAGAGGATTCACCAGAGCCAGAGTGGGGAGCAGAACAGGCAGACTGACGAAGAAGTGCACTGCTGAGGGGAGCAGCGGGCGGCAGGAGAGGTCTGCGCGCCATGTGGGACCCTCACCCGGCGGCTGGGGATTGAACCGGCGCTGCAGAGGCTGCGGGCAGCTTCGCAGCTCAGCGCTCAACCGCTGCACCACCAGGGGAGGCCCCAGACTCTGGGAATTTTATCTTTTGGGTGCTTTTTTTATACTCCTTAAGATAGTCTTCATCCTTATTCTGGAACACAACTACTTGGTAACACTTTGTTCCTTCACCAAAGGACCAGTCACCCTTGAGCCTCGGTACTGACTGTACCCAAGCCATAAGACCATTTGGGGATTCATCTAACAGATGCTCCAGAAAAACCAGGTGCAAGCAGTCAGGAGCTGAACCTCAGCCTTATTACCCCATTCAGCACCATCAACCCGAACGGTGACCTGGCGTGTGTGTCCACAGCACGAACTTAAGCAGAATGGCTCCTAAGGCGTCTCTGCTTCAAGGTCCCCCGCCCCCACCCAGAAACGCAAACCCTTCTGTGAGCGAGCTCCCTTCAGCTAAAACTTCATGCCCACGTGTTTTGCAACCATCCTAGACTGGGTAGGTTCACTGTTGGTTCTCAGGGATGGAAAGATAATTTCGGAGCCTTTGGTGAATTTTTACAGGCCCTTAATGCTGCCCAGGACAGACCAGCTTTCTCCCTAACATTTCCCTGGAGGTCTCCTCTCTCCCCACCTCCAAGTGATGCTGCCCTTTCAGCCCCGCCCTCCAGGCCCAGGTGTCCACACTTACATACACATACGCTCCGGATTCTTGGGCTCAGGTGTCCGCAATTACAGGTGCGTGCGTGCAAGGCCACAGGTGCCAGTCATAGAGGCTAATGGCTGGAGGGCTGTAAACAGCCTAGTTACTAACTCACGCTACACCAAGTTTTCCTTTAAAAAGAAAAAAAGAAAATCCCGGGCCCCTCCCAAACATCTGCTGGCCACACTTTTCTCCAGGGCTCTGCCCTCTCCCTCGGCCAGGTCCCCATAGAGTTTACTGGTTCGCTTCCAACCCAACCTCTCACCCCACCCCTTGCTACCTGCCTTTTTTTTTTTTTCATTTTTAAAAATTTTATGTATTTTTTACATCATGCTTCATTTTTGCACAATGCCTGCCTTTTCACCTTGGTTCTAGTCTCCACACAATCCCCACCCCCCTTATTCTGATCCTCCCCCCTCCTCCTCCCTGTACTGTGTCTCTGGTTTATAGTTGCCTGTTGATTTTGATTTTTACTTTATTAGTCTTTTTCCTATCTGCACAATGGAATATTACAATCAAAAAAGATAAACGTGTAATTTGCAGCAACAGGGATGGGGCTGGAGGGATCATGCTCAGCGAATTAAGCCAGAAAGAAAAAGAAAAATACCGGAGGGTCTCCCTCATAGCTACCTGACTTCTGGCCGGGTCTCCGGAGGCTCCTCCTCGCGGGGGGCCGGGCCCGCTGCTCGGCTGCTCTGGAGCGCGCCCCGCTGGCCTCCACCACACTCGCCACCCTCTGATGGCCACCCGCGGTACCACTCCTCCGGCCCGCTTTGGAAAAGCAAACGTTTCCTAATTATGAAGCAAAATACGTCCACGTTAGAAAAATCAGAAAATACTTCCCCAGTCCCTGGCGCTTCCTCCCGTGGCCCGGGACCTGTCCGCGCCGTCGGCTCTCAGCCCGCTCGGCCCCACGCCAGGCTCAAACCTACGTCTCCAGGCCTTACCCTTCTCCTGTCTGTTATTCATCTTTTAAAAAATTTGTTTCCATTAAAACTCAGTTTTAAAACTGAAAGAATTACTAGGTTTACAGAAAACAGCGCTCTCCGTCCTGTCCTTCCCCTTCCCCAACACCCCGTTCCCCAAATGACAAGTTCTGCTTCTTGCCTTATCATGTTAGAGGTGATCTACTGTCTGTGTCCCCTAGTCCTTTATTTTGGGAAATCATTCAGCACTTGCAGGTGCATCCAGCTCCAGCTCTCACTTCGGAAAGGCAGTGCCTGCTGGGTCCACGTCCGTGTGATGCTTTTGCTCTCGGACGTCTTCCTGGAGCCTCTTTTTTCCCGGTGCCCCGCAATTCCAGGCTGCCGTGCCGGGTGTGGGTCTTTTTCATATTTTTCATTCTTCATCTGGGCACTTGATGAGACTCCTCAACCTTTCAGTTCTGATGTTGCAGAAATAAATTTTACTTTTTACCCAGGCAGAGGAAGAACAAGCGGTACTTAGGAATGGTGAGGTCAGGAAAAGCTTTATTATTCTTGCATGAGGTCCCAGACCTGGGTAGCCCCCAAAGGTCTGAGCACCTGTTTAAAAACAAAGAGTTTTTTTTTATACATAACTATCCTTCCATTGATAACATCATTTTGCAGCAAGGTTTCTAAACAAGGGGCTGGGAAAAAGCAAAAAGGCGCAGACATCCGGGGATGGCCTAGACGAGATAGACCAACTTGGCTGAATGCTGACCTCGTAACTCTGTCAGCCTTGAGGAAAGATTTGTTAAGTGCGCGAACTTGTTAACTACAATTGCACTGGATTATTAAGTGCTTCAGGCCTGAGACCCTTTAGAAGGGAGCTGGAAAGATTTATTTGCTTAGCGGTTCCCGTTCACTGGGAAATCTTGTATTTTTTTTTTTTTAAGATTTATTTATGCATAGAAGAACTGGGGTGCAGGCCAGAGGTGTGTGTGGGGGGAGAGGATTCACCAGAAAGTGTGGGGCGCAGAACAGGCAGATTGACTGAAATCCACTGCTGAGGGGAGTAGCAGGGAGACAGGAGAGGTCACCTCCCTGGGCAGGGATAGGACTCGTGCTGCAGTAGCTGCAGATTGTCACTGCTGACACTTAACCCCTTCCACCACCAGGGAGGCCCCAAAATCTTGTATTTTGTGTTAGTCTTCCTACTTCTGCTTCCTTTGTTCTTATTCCTCAAAATGTAACTGTTTGACCTGCTGGAATTTTTTTTTTAAGATTTATTTTATTATTTTATTATTTTTATGCATACAAGAGCTGGGGTACAGGCCAGAGGTTTGGGGGGGTGAGAGGCTCACGAGACCGAGTGGAGAGCAGAACAGGCAGACTGACTGAGATCCACTGCTGAGGGGAGCAGCGGGGAGACAGGAGAGGTCTGCTGCGCCATGTGGGTAGCTCCCTGGCTGGGGATCAAACTCGTGCTGCAGAGGCTGCAGACAGCTTCATACGTTGCATCTTAACCCCTTGCACCACCAGGGAGGCCCTAGAAAGAATTTATTTATTTATTTATTTATTTATTTAATAGAGGCATATTTATTTGTTTGTTTGTTTGTTTTGTTTATACAAGCACTGGGTACAGTCAGAAGCGCGGGAGGGTGAGAGAATTCACCAGAGCCAGAGCGGGGAGCAGAGCAGACAGAAGGACCGAAGGACACTGCTGAGGGGAGCAGCGGGCGGCAGGAGAGGTCTGCCCGCCATGCGGGATCCTCCTCCGGTGGCCGGGGAGCAGCCGGGGATCGAACCGGCCCCGCAGAGGCCGCGAGCAGCTTCGCAACCCAGCGCTCAACTGCTGCGCCACCGGGGAGGCCCTAAAGAATTTTTTAATTTTCTATTTTTTAACCTTTTTCATTCCTTCCAAACTTTCCAGATAGCACATTTTCAAAAAATACTACTGGTGCTGTGTCACCGATGTGGTATTTTAATAGCTGCGGACATTAGAACTTGGCCAAAGTTCTCTGAATTTTCTTGTTTCTTCCTATTTCCTTGGTTCTGTTCATTTATTGTGCTTTGCTTTTCCAACGGGACAGCTCACAAATGTGCGGCAACCCTTAGCTGTCCACCCGCGTTAGCTGGGCGGGAGGGAAGCTCTGTGGGACTGGGAGACGTGAACGGTGACGGAGGCCCCCACGCCGAGGAGGCCGCGCGTCAGCGACTTTGTCTTCCCAACCCCTCACTAGGGCCTCCCAGTGTCAGCAGAAAAGAATCTTTCACCTCCCGCCTGGGCTGCTTCCCGCCTGCTGGCGCACGTGTGGAGCTGGGCAGTGAGGCCGGGCTGGGCTTCTCACCGCCCGTCGGTGCCCAGTGCGGCTTCCAGAGCTTCTCCAGTGCTGACTCTCCTGCGCCCTAACCCGCGACCCGCCAGAGCGGAGGGGGCCATCTGCTGCCTGGGAGACAAGGGCCAGCCTCAAGTACTCACCTCAGCACCTGTCTTTGGCCCTAAGTCTCACCCCCACTTCCACAGCACCCCGTTTCTGACTGAGCTCTCCCGCCTTTGGTGAGTTCACTCCCCCTAGACGCTCCGATTTCAGCTTTTCTACCCCTGACTCCTCCACCTGCTTTTAATGTTACAAAAAATTGCTGTTTCCCGCCACCCGCTCTGTCTCTCTCCTGCTCTCTGCCCTGTATCTCCTTTGAATTGTTTTTCCTGCGCTCTCCTGCCCACCTGTGACTACGTAGGTGCCTTTCTCTCTCTCCTTTTCCTAACAAACCAGCCCTTTTCAAAGGTTAAAAAAAAAGCCTCCCCCTCGCTTTGCCGTCAGCGGAGCTCGGAGCAGGCCGCAGCGTCCCGGCCAGGAGGCGCCCAGCTTGAACACGGCTTTGGTTTCCAGCCTAGAGGCCTGGCCACGCTCAGGTGAACCAAAGCTGTAACTTCCAAGACGACGCAGCGACGGCGTTGCACGTCTGAGCAGGCCGTGCGCTGCCGACAGCCCCGCTCCCCGTCCACCTCGGCTGCTAGGGCGGCACATCTCCGACCACTGGTGAATTCGCTGAACGCGAAGTGTTTTTCAGGAGTAGGAACCGCAGACATAACATTCCGGAAAAGACAGGAAAGAAACAAACACGCTAGAACTGCCACATGCTCCCCTAAAATCAACACAGAGCCTGGGAACCTGTGAGCTCTTAAGAGTATTCCATAGGGAGAAACAAAATAACTACTTTCACGTACAACTTATTTAATATGAAAATAGGGTATTAAATACAACTATTAAGGGACAAGTACCTTCAGAAGTCTCTGGACTTTGTCACTGTAAAACGCGTGGAAGCGGCCTACGCTGACACGCATGACAACTCCCCCGACCCGCGACCCCCCCCCCAGCCAGCCCAGCAGGGAGCCCTCTGTCGAGGGGACAGTCCTGTCCATCGGCTCCTGCCCTGCTTCGCCCCCCCCAGGGGGGGTCAGCCTTCTGAAAGGAAACGGGCAGTTGCCACCGGCAGCCCCGCTGCGCTCCCCTGACTTTGCTAACTCGCTTTGTATCTGGAGTTAACAAAGCACAGCAGCTGCCTGGCGTGAGCACGCAGAGGCAAGAAAATAACCCCAGGAAGGGAAACACAGGCCAGAGTGACAGGCCGAGGGCAGGACGCGTTCCGGCTGGGCGAGCGCTCATGGCCACGCGCCGGGCCGGCCTGCGGCCGCCGGGCAGGGAAGGGCCCGCAGCTGCCGCACCTCCTCCTCCCGTGCCCGTCCCGCTGCGGCGAGCCCCTGGGACACACGCACTTCCCAAGTCCTAGAAAATAAATAAGGCAAATAAAAATCCTTGGGGTTTGCTCTGGCCCTTGTTTGAGCCCCGGAGGAGGACGGGCGGGTGGGCGAGGACGTGCAGTGCGCTGCGGGCTCAGCGGCCAGGACGGCGCCCCTGCCTGCTCAGGGCTCAGAAGTCGTTGTCGCTCTCGTCCAGCGGCTCTGGCTCCCGCGCCCTCCGGCCGGGCTTGGGTGTGAGCACGAGGCTCTCGTCTTCCAGGTCGTCCTCGTCATCCTCGTCCTCCATGTCGACCTCACTGTCCTCGGAGTCCTCCTGCGGGAGGAGACAGCGGATACCACCGGGGGCCCCAGGGCCACTGACCCGCCAGCAGAGACCCTCCTGGTTGGTGTCCGAGCAGGTCGAGGAGTCGTGGCACAGCAGGAGGCGCGTGAGGGGCAGAGTGGGCTGGGCCAGGGGCCCGGCGCGGGCAGGAGTCAGGAGCCTGCAGGCGCGGTGTGATGCCTGGGTGGGCGCCCAGGGCGGGCTTCCCCGCCGAGGGCACAGCACCCTGGACCTGCCCCGAGAGCCAGCGGAAGCCGCCCCGCTCCCCAGGACCCAGCACACCGAGGGCAACAATCAGGGCAGGGCCTGGGGAGCAGGAAGGGGGGCTTTAGCCAAGCGGGACGGAAAGCCGCCCAGGAAACGGGGCAAGGAGCACAACGAAAGCAGCAGCCAGTGGCTGGCGCAGGACGCCCATGCGGCTCCGAATCCTTCGAGTCCTGCGTCCCAGGGAAGCCAGAGCGGGGGTCACGCCCTAGATGAGTCCTAGCACACACGCTGCAATTTCCTTCCTAGCAAAGCAACACAAACCACCCCAAAGCGGCCCTCGTGCTCTCCACAGCTCTGCCCGACCCCGTCCCCTCCTGCGGACTCCTGGGGGAGCTCTGAGCGGGGCCGGCTCCCTGCATGGCCTCTGGGAGCTCGCTCAGCTGCTCCCACCCCGCCTCGCCCTCGTGCTCCCGCTGAGACCCAAACATTCAACTGCGTCCAGCCCGAAGGGTCCCGCTCCGTCCTCCTCTGGCCTGCAGGTTGCGCCAGATACAGGCCCGCAGGACACAGCTCCTTTCTAGAAAGCATCTGCAGGTCTCGGGGTGCCCCCACCTCACTTCAGCACCCCTTCACCTCCCTGATGCGGGGCGGGCTCAGCTCAGGGCCCTGGAACTCCTCTTTCTACTCTCCCCTCACAATTGTAGCAACCCCCATCCCTGTGGCTTGAGGGCCACCCACACGTGGATGGCCCCCCAGAGTCGATCTTCAGCCCAAACCTGCCCCTTGACCCCCAGGCTTTAATTTCAAGTGGCCACTCGACACGGGACAGGGGAGTCCTGCCGCAACTCACACTTAAGACCGTCCAAAGGCAAACGCCTGCTCTCCCAGCTCCCTCCTGGGCCCCAGCTCCGGGAGCGGGAACACCGGCCCACTGCGCCTCCAGAGGTGCCCTTCGTGTCTCGGCCTCCAACATCCAGTCGGCAAGACCTGACGGCTCTCACCTGAGAAACACGCCAAGGCCTCCCACCCCCGCGGCGCCACCTGTGGCCGGGCTGTGCCCTGTGAGCTACACCACTGCCCGCACCTCCAGCAGCCGCCCCGCCGGGTCGGCCCGGCGCCAGGGGGGCTCAGGAGTCCGGGGGCCTCAGGAGTCCATGGCAGCACCTTGCACTTGGGAGGAAATGTGGGGCTTCCCACATCACATAAAGCTCTACACGGCCCCTGATGCCACTGTCCACAGTTCCCTCTGCCCAGGAACGCCACTGGCCGGTCCTGCCATGCAAGAGCCACACTCCCCAGGCCTTGGAGGCCCCCCCAGCACCAGAGACCTGCCCTGATCCGCCAGAAGGCAGCGCCCTCTCCCTGCATCGCTGTCGCTCTGCCCTGAGCCTGTGTCTTCTGGCCGCAGCGACCCCTGAGGATCTGCGGGGCTCTGCGCCCTGAGGCGCGGGCGGCTGCTGCGCCCTTCCCAGAGTCCACACCAGCGCCTGGCACTGGACGCTTTGAGCCACCCACCAAGTGCGAGAGCGAGCACAGGGAGGCGGGCCCGGCCCCGGGAAAGGTGCATGTGGCCTCCCTGAAAGAAACCAGAGATGCCAAGCACAGCGTTGCCAGCAGCTCTAAGAAAGCACTTGTTCTGGAAGCAGAAAGCAACACGGGCCAGAACTAGGAGCAGCCAGCGGCGCTCTGCAGGCGGCCGGGCCAGCCGGGCCCAGCCCCGCCCTCTGCCAGCCGCTTGCCCGGCTTCTCCCTCCTGGCACTTTCTGCAGAAGGACTGGGACCAAACGGCCAGCCCCTCTGCACAGGAGCAGGCCGGCTGTCTGCGCAGCTGGCAGGGAGGCTGTGCCCTGCCTCCTCGCAGCGCTGCCAGGGACTGAGTAGCGGAGGGTCCAGAGAGGGGACCCAGCTCCACAAATGGGCCCCAGCCCCGGGCCCTGATTCCCGCTCTGGTTCGTGCAGGGAGCTCCCCACACAGCAAGGCTCACGGCGCTGGCAGCCTGACGCCACAGCCCCTCACCAGCCTTGGAGGCCCCGTCACGGCCCTCCCACGATGCAGCAGGAGAGCGATGGGTGAGCCGCGCCCCTTCCCCTCTGGGCTGCAGCTCAAGGGCCCCACGTCTCCACGGCCACGGCCTTTCTTGCCTCGTGTCTCAGCGCTCGCCCTCCTCCCCGGTGTGGATTCTGGACTATCCCACCACTCCTTGTGGGGCCATTTTTTTTTTTTCAGGATTGTTTTTATTTTTTATTGTGGGGCCATTTTGAGTGACTTCTTGCACGGGAGACATCCGGGACGGGTCTTGGCTAGTGCTGAGAGGCTTGAGACTGTCCTCACCCCACCCCACCCCACCTCACACACACACACAGATGAGGAAAAGGAAAACCAACCTGCTTCTTGGAGCTGGAAGTCTTGCATTTACCTAAGAGAGCTGGTGCTGCTTCCGTCTTTGGAAAGCGAGAATGGAAAGAAGAGTGAGCAGGAAGAAGCAGCAGGAAGCGTGCTCATTCGAAAAGAAAAGAAACGCGGCACCAACAAGCAGACAAGAGAGTCCAACTCCTTGGGAACCAAGCCCAGCCACGCCGCCCGCAGGCCAGCCCGGCAGGGGGGACAGAGCACGGAGGGTGCCGGGCAGGACTCACGTCGTCGTCCGAGTCGCCTCCCTGCATTGTGCCCACGATGCGTTTGCCGGGTCTTCCTGTGGGCAGAGGCAGAAATTATGAAAACCTCGTAAGATAAGGCAGGAAGCAGCATTCAAAATTTGCTCTCCTTCAGGAAGTTCAGAAAGAAGGATCACAGTAAAAAATTTACTTAAGAGGCACCCGACTAGGCAGAACTGTCAACAGACGGCAAAGCGTTTCTGTATCTCCGCTTTGGAAAAAGGAAAAGGACAATAAAGCGTTAGCACAAATTACAGCTGCAAAAATAGATGCACATCCTGTAAGTGTTTTGGGGAAACCCCACTGTGTTCCATGCCAGTGTACCCCAGAACAGACGAGCCAGCAGGCCCCCTTTTATGGGGTGGGGCCGCATGGACTTGAATCCACACCTGAGCTTCAGAAAGAGGAGGGAGGCAGGTCCCGACGGGGCCATCTTTCAACACCCTCATCAGCTAGGCCACTCGCCACTCCACCTTGCAGTGGTACCATCTGGGTGACCCCCGCCAGCGCTCAGCAGGGGCAGAGTGCTGCACCCACAGAAGCCAAGGAGCAGCACCAGGGTTGGGCCTTGGGGAAAGGCAGTGAGGGCAGCTCCAAGAGGAGCTCACTCAGGACCGGCCTGGAGAGGGCCACCAGGAGCCACTCCCGAACCTTCCCAGGTCAGAGAAGAGGCCCTCATGTTGTCTGTGGTCTGCTTACAGTCTTGGGGCGAGGGCCCTCCCACGCCAGTGCCAACCCCTCCTAGGGCCTGGCGTCCCTCTGTGAAGTGGGCATCACCTCTAAACTATGCCAGGAAGCTGTTAAAAAATAAAGCAAGAAAAAAGGCGACCAGAGCATCTAATTTTATGAAAATGAAATGCAGTAAGGGTGGCCGAGCCCAGCACAGGGAAGCAGCTACCGACAGAAGTTCCCGTGACGTGAGGAGATGCCCCACTTAGATCCATGAAGCGGGTAACAGGCCACAGGGTATGAGAGGCGCTCTCGGCGGAGACAGGGCAGTTCAGTGTTGTCTATCAAAACCAAAATCTGGAAGCTCTGGTCTAAGACTTCTGCCTTCAAATCGCCACTCACAGAAACCTAGAGAGACACGCGGCTGCACAGGCGCTGGGCAGGCACGGGCAGGGAGGGGGCGGTGGCCCCGCGGACGCAGCAGAGAACACAACGCTCAAGGGAAAGGGCGGCGTGAGGACACGGACCCGCAGGGCCCAGCTGGGCCGAAACGTGCCTCGGCTGCTCCACGTGTGGGCTTGCCCGTGTGTGAGGGGCACCTCCGCCACTGCCACGACCCCTCTGAGGTGGGCCTGGACAACCCCCGGGGAGCGCCCACACTTTTTGTTGCTTGAAGCTTTCGCAGCGAGAGAACAGGCACTGGAAGAACATCTTCGAACGCACAGGTGCTCCGCGGAGCCCCTTATGCATGAAATCTTGGCTGGAAGGGACATAACTGGACTGAGCAGCTCGGATCCCAAGAGGGCAGGGAGAACAGGGAGGCGGCAGCATTCGGGGCGTGCCAGGCCTCAGGTAAGTTCGGCTGTTCCCAGCCGGCGAGGTGCTCTGGCAGCCAGGACGAGCCGAGGGGTTTCAGAGCTGAATCCTGACAGGCCAGCGGGCAGGATGAGCCCCGGAGCAGGCCGCTCCCAGGGCTGCTGCCCGGGCCCCCCAGGGCGGGGAGGAGCACAGCACCTTGCATGAGCACCTCCATGGCCGTGCGCGGCTTGGCCAACCGTCTCTCCTCCAGCTCGCTGTCAGACTCATCCTCCTGGATGTCGATGTCTGAGTCCTCGGTACCTGGTGGGGACACAGCAGGCGAGTCAAGGGGGTTCCGCCATCGCTTCCCGAACAGCTCTGCCCCCTACCCCCGGGCCTGCACAGGCCAGCCGCCCCCTCAGCCTCTGCTCTGCTGATTCTGAGGCTCCCGGGACGTGCTGAGGTGCTGGGGGCAGGGTCAGCGTGGACGACAGGCTGTGGCTGCTGTTTTTCCAGAAGGTTTCCAGAGCAAGACAAAAGTGGGTCGATACATCCGTGAGAACACACTCCAGTACGTAAAACTGGAAAACGCAAGAGCCATCTATCACTGAGCCACAACTCAGTAATAAAAAGACAAAGAACCTAAAAACGCGTCAAGGACTTGGACCTCGTTCCAAAGAAGACGCACAAAGGGCCGGTGAGCACAGGAGGAGACGCGGCCTCATCAGCTACCAGGAAAATCAACCAAAGCCACAGGAGATGCCACGGACACCTGCTCAGGGATGATCCTTAGACCAGCGCCCAGCAGGAGCACACTGGGCCCGGTGCGGCCCCACCAGCTCCCCCAAGTACACTAGACACAGGTGAGGTCACTTCAATCACGTCTCACCCGACCTTATCTGTCTGAAACGTCATTCCAAAGTCACCAATTTCAAAAACCCTTGAGCACGCCTGCTTCTTTCGCTCACCAAGTCTTCCGAAGCTGCTGGCCGCGTTCCACGAGCAGCACATCCCCCTGGACCAGCCGGGGCTGAGTGCTGACGGGGCCCGCGCCCTCATCACGTGCCCCAGTGCCGGCGCCCCCGGGGGACCGCAGGAGGCAGCGGCTGGCGCTGAGGCATGGTCCCCCGCTCCCCAGCGCCACACCGGGAATCGGGGCTGTCGCTCAAGCGCTCTCTAGGGCTGCCTGCGTCTGCCCGGGCATCAGAGGGCCCGCCAGTTCTAATGCTGCGGCCGAGGCCTGCGGAGGGCACAGTAGCCAGGTCGCCACCAGCAGGCGGAGAGCAGGACCGTGGAAGGTGAACAGCTGCCCCGGACTCTCCCCACGCGCAAGGGAGGAACGCCTCGGCCTGCTCCAGCTCTGGACCCCCGGCGACATCCCATCTCCTCCACTCCCGTGCTCGCCTTCCTCAAGCCCCGTACGCCAAACCCAAAGCCCAACCCCAGCTGACTTTTCCTCCCGCTTAGCAGAGAAACTGGGCTCCACAGATGTGAGCCCCCACGATCCAGCTCATCCAACCTGCCCGCCTCAGTCCTTCCTGCGCGTTCACACCTTTCCGCACTCAGGGAAACGCAGCCCCTGGCTCCCGGCCCCGTCCTGCCTGGACTGGCCTCACCTACTGTGCTCTCCCCCCGGCCCTCCTGATGGGCCTTTCACTAGAGCAGCATCTCCTATACTGACCCCCACTTAAAGCTGCACGTCTTAAACTCCCCTCCCCAGCCCCACCTCTTGCTCTGCTTTCTACCCCGGAGGCCTGGTCCACCTAGTCTGCCTCCTCCCGCAGGCACGAGCGGGAACAGGCCGGAGCCCTGTGCCCTGGGCGCTGAGGGTTCCCTGGCACCCAGCACTGCTCATCCAAGAAACGCCAAGAAACTGCTCATCCAAGAAGGATGTTGCTCTTCTTGGCCTTAACTCATGCCGAAAGGTACGATGAGATTTTCCTGTTCTGGGTGCTTCTCACAGGTGGAGGGTTCCGAACTGCAGAAGGCTTTCTGTACCCCCGACCCCGACGCTCTGGGCAGTGCTCCCCCACATGCAGAAAAGCAAAGAAAGGCAGGGCAGCAGAAGACCCCTAAGATGAAGAGAACTAAAGGTGGTCCTTCCCAGATAGCTTCCTAACCTCTTTGCCCACTCTGTGCAATTAAGTAGTGTCCTTCATTAAACTGGCGTCAGCTAGAAATAATTTTCCTGAAAAAATGCAACCACACATGCTCGGAAGAATCTTTGTCCGGGTGGCACAGGGGTTAAGCACAGCGCTGTGAAGCTGTCCGCCGCCTCGGCCGCACGAGTGCGATCCCCGGCCAGGGAGCTACCCACGGCAGACCTCTCCCGTCTCCCCGCTGCTCCCCTCAGCAGTGGATTTCAGTGGATCTGCCTGTTCTGTTCCCCACTCTGTCTCTGGTGAGTCCTCTCACCCCCCAACACCTCTGGCCTGTACCCTAGCTCTTGTATGCATAAATAAACAAATCTTTAAAACAAACAAAAAAAAGAATCTTTGTCCTTCAGAGGATCCCAAACCTGTGGATCACACAACCCATGCCCGGGCTCAGAATGGAATGGAAAAATAAGGCAAGGCCAGCAAGGGGCCTGACCGGGCTGGCCACTCAGTGCTGCCCTGGGCGGGCCTCCCAAAAAGACAAGCTCCTCGCCTGGGGTCATCGCTCGGGGCTGCTGGTTCTCCTGGCTGACCTGGAGCCACGAAGGGGAGGGGCTGCTTCGGCAGACAGGCCCTTGGGATCTCCCACACTTGCCCCTAGAGGCTCCCAGCAGGCCCTAACCTCCTTGCAGCTTGCTGAGACTCAGGAGAGAGGCCAGAACCAGCACAAAGGCCCTGGATACAGAGAAGGGACAGGCCACGCCTTACCCCCCAGGACACCAGCCTCAAGTGAAGAGGTCGTCAGGAAGACAGAGGGCGGAGAGCGGGATCAAGCCGGCACCTCCCACGCCAACGCCCGGGAGCTGCCGGAGAAGGCGCTGACCCCTCACAGACATGCCTCGGAACCGGGGTTTCAGAGGCTGGTAGCCCCACTTTTCCAGGCTTGCAGAGCAAGTTTGGGTTATTGGGGGGCTATCACTTCATTGCATTCTGAGACTTGCTTTCCTTACATTTGCCCTGAAATAAGGAAGCTGCCCCTGCGGGACCAAGCTTTCCTCACGGTTATCTACATACTTCAGGCCAACGGTAGCGCGTCAGCAGGGACGCGGCTCCAGTCGGTGTGAGAACCAGGCATGCTTTAAATGCCTTGTAACTTAACCAACCTCCAGAGCGCGGGTTGATTAAAATGGCCCGACACAAGGGCGTGAGCGAACCGCCTTCTGAAAATAACTGAAAGACGCGCAGCATCTGCCGAGTGGCTGCTGTGGGGTGCTCACCTCCGCTCTTGAGCAGGCGCTTCTCCTCCTCCTTCAGCTTGTTCTGCATCAGGCGGAGAGTGTTTTCCGCTTCCTGGAACAGCAGAGACAAGATTCAGGCCAGGTGGCTTCTAGGGCGAGCGCTACCATCCTCGGCCAGGAAGGGCAGGCGGAGCCCGGGTTGGGGAAGTGCGGAAGGGCGGGAGCCTGCTCAGAACCAGGGCCACCTGCTCGCACCTCAGGGTGAATCTTTGGTGCCTCTTTGGACCCAGGGATGCCCCCACATGTGGGTATGAAGTGGCCCAAGTTTATTTCCACGGGCCCTTTACTCGTCTTTCCCAGGCTCGCAGTTAAACATCCTGATCTCCAGGCTCTTTTCATCGTCTTCAAAACATGCCTGCCCTGTACCCCGCTCCTCCATGACTGACCCCCATTCCTCCACGGCCTGAACCCTGCTCCTCCACGGTCTGAACCACGCAGCAGCAGCGGCAAATGGGCGAGTGTGCATGTCACTCGCAGCCGGCCCTCCTGGACAGCAAGAGCGCTTCACCAGACTCGCTGCAAGGACAGCGAGTAAGAGGGAGACAGGCCGGGTCTCACCCCAAACACGCTTCAAATGACTGTTCTCACGTTAAACAGAAAAATCCCTAATGACTGTTCTCACGTTAAACAGAAAAATCCCTAAAGAATGCGGACAATTCAAAGTGAGAGGAACTTGGTCCAATTTCCTTTGCTCAGTCCCTTATTCACCAACTCTGCGGGGATCGTTCCCCACGGCCTTGCCCGGGGGCAAGAGGACTCTGTAAGAAGGGTGGGCGGGCCGGGCCACACATATTTCTTACACCAATCGGTATAGCCTCAGTCTTCTTCACAAGCCTCTGATTAGCTACTTTGGGTGATTCAGGTAACCAGGACTTGCAGATATTGAAGTGACTGACCAAGCAGGGCCAGATACATAATTTGTAGGACTCAGCGCAAAAAATACACTGAAAAACTATTAAGAATTTTAAGATGGGGACAGCAGAGCCCGAAGGAAGCAGGGCCCTTCCAACCTCCTGAGCGCCACAGGCCTTGTGTGGCCCCGACATGGTCCCGAGTGTCCAAAACCACCACCTAACAGCAGAGACTGGGCACGGGCTACCGCACCAGCAAAAAAGGATCACATGAGCAACCCTCACACTGACGAGGGAGAAAAGCGATGAAAACATCCACTGACTTCTCCCACGGGTTACTGACACCGACAGGTCGGCAGGCACAGCTGACGTACCAGGGGGGCGGCCTGCACAGCGCGGATGGGCACCCACCTCGAACCGCTCCTGCTCCAGCCGGTGATGGTCTTCCAGCTGCTGTTCCAGGTAAGTCAGATTGCGAAATTTCTCTAAATAAACATCATACTGCTTTTGCAGTTCTTCCTCAATCTTCTCATACTCGTCCATAAATGCCGGCCTAGAACCACCACACAGAATAGAATGTGGAAGACAAATCAATACACAGAATGAGTGTGCCGGGCTAGCTTGGATCCCAAGGAAAGCCTCTCCCAGGCAAAGCGTCTTCACTCTGACAGCTTCTCAGAGCTCACTTCCCTGCTCCTCCCCCCACTCCCAAAATAAACTTAACTTTTTTAAAATCAAAAAGATGTGCTCTTTATAAAAACTTGAAATAATCCTGAAAGTACTAAGAAAGCAGCAAAATGTGCTCATGATCCCATTACTCAGGCACTTCATAGCTGACACACACCTTTCCAGACTTTTCCAGGCATAAATACTTGGAGGAGGGCATTTTCAGACAAGTTTTAATTTTTTATTTAATTTTTTAAAAGATTGATTTATTTATTTATACAAGAACTCAGGTAGGTACAGTCAGAAGCGCGGGAGGGTGAGAGGATTCACCAGAGCCAGAGCGGGGAGCAGAACAGGCAGAAGGACCGAAGTACACTGCTGAGGGGAGCAGCGGGCACAGCAGGAAAGGTCTGCACGCCATGTGGCCCTTGTCGGCGGCCGGGGATCAGGGATCGAACTGGCGCTGCAAAGGCTGCGGGCAACTTCGCAGCCCAGGGCTCAACCGCTGCGCCACCAGGAGAGGCCCAAGACGAGTTTTAAAAACATGACTTTAAAGGTAACTTTGAAGTCTTTTCCTCACTCATGAGCCTCGATCTCAGTGAATTGCTGGAGGCGGCCACCTTGCGTAGTGAGCAAAAGGGCCTTGACCTGAGTCCCTAAGGCATGTGAAAACACATGCGTCTCGGAGGAAAACCTCTGGGTGACAGGACTTGGTGTTGAGAGCCTGGAAGTGAACTGTGTACATCTCCACAGATTGACAACAACAAATAATGAGCGAACTTCCCAGGCTCTGGCTAGGAGGCGATAAGATTATGTGAGTGAGAACTAACCACCTGGTATCCTACTGTCTGAAGTAAATAGATAATAGTAAGAAAATAGACTAATCATTTATACATGTTATCATTATGTGGTATGCTTTGATGTTACACCTGTTACAATTAAAATAGTATATAATGAGCACTAAGACAATAAAGATTTGCTGCATGCTGGACATGACAGTCCCCCATGTCTGATCTTCTTCACCGTCGCGGTTTAGGTTCAGACTCACTAAAAGTCCACAGTGAATCATACCCCAAAAACATCTCTCAGAATCAGCAAGTGCAACACACACTATGTTCCCTGGGCCCAGGCTGCACAGGTGTTCCAGGATTATAGTCAACCCCTCAAAAAAGGGAAGTGTTGGTTGTTAAAAATCAAAGCTAAGTTTTAAACCCATAAAAAATTTAAAAATATGATCATAACTTAAAAACCCTTTTCAACTGGCTTACCGAATTTGCTTTTTTTATTATTCATCTTACAGGGAAAATGCTCTTCTAAAAATATAAACAGGGCCTTCCCAGTGGTGCAGTGGGTTTTACGCAGCGCTGTGAAGCTGTCCACAGCCTCTGCAGTGCCAGTTCAACTCCCGGCTGGGGAGAAACCCACATGGCTTGGCAGACCTCTCCTGCCTCGCCCACTGCTCCCCTCAGCAGTGTCTTCAGTCCATCTGCCTGTTCTGTTTTCCGCTCTGTCTCTGGTGAATCGTCTCACCCGCCCGCACATCTGGCCTGTACCCCGGTTCTTGTATAGATAAATAAATCCTTAAAAATAAATAAATAAAAATATAAACAAACTAAAAGTGAGTTTATGCTCTTTTACCCCAGAGCTAAATACTCTTCTATTAAAAGGACTTGTGGGCCTCCCCTGGTGGCGCAGTGGTTGAGCGCTGGGCTGCGAAGCTGCCCGCAGCCTCTGCAGCGCAGGTTCGATCCCTGGCCGCCGGCGAGGGTCCCACATGGCGCACAGACCTCTCCGGCCGCCCGCTGCTCCCCTCAGCAGTGTATTTCGTCAGTCTGCCTGTTCTGCTCCCCACCCTGGCTCTGGTGAATTCTCTCACCCTCCTGCGCTTCTGACTGTACCCAGCGTTTGTATAAATAAATAAATAAATCTTTAAAAAAAAAAAAAAGGACTTGATGCTCAACAAAAAATGAATTCACAACTCAATTTTGAACGGACAAATCTGTCTGGTGGCCCTGATTTTAGAAGAGAAAGGGGGTGCTCTTGCCTGGCATTCAGCTCAGGGAAGGAGGCTTCGGGGGCTCCCCAGGTCACAAGCTGTAGCTCCCATGCTGCCCATTCGCCTGGCCTGCCTGGCGTCCCCGGCCTGCCCGGCCTCCCTGGCAGCCACACACTCCTCCACGTGCTCACACCTACCTGACGCTCTGCAAGGTCTGCAATCGCTTGCGGTTTCTTTCCAGTTCTAATTTTCTCTTTTCAATTTTGGCTTCCAGATTAGCTTCGTCAGAGGCCACATTGCTGAGCAGGTCTTTAGTCTTCTGAACCTGGGCCTGCGTTTCACAGGACATGACAGTGAGACAGCGCCGCCACTGCGCCGCTCAGAGTGCAGGGTCCTGACCCCCAGGCTCAGCAGCACACAGGGGGCACACCCTCCCAGAGCCATCCCTCATGTAACCAACCAGAAGGAACATCAGTCAGGAGGCCCAATGCAAAGGGTGATTCACTGCCCGGGAAACGAACGAGGGGGGGACGAGCCCTGAGGGCCTGAGAGGCTGCAGCCCACTTGCCAGATGCCAAGGTCAGCCCCGTTTCTGTTCCTCACTCGCTCTGTCTGGTCCAGGCTATTCCCGGATGGAAACTGCAGAGCTGGGGACACACACACGCACGAGCATGGCTCTTATTCAGGAGGGGACAAAAGAAACTGTCGCTGGACTCAGCCCAAATCCACTGCCTGCTGGGACCCAGATGAGGTCCCCTCTTCCTGGCCTCTGCCTCTTGGTGACCAGCCACGCAGAGAAACCACGCGGGGCACAAAGCCGGCGGCAGTGGCTTCCTCAGTCACTGGCTGCGCTGTGAAGCAGCCCCTAGCAGGGAGCCTGGTAACGGCGGACAGTCCAGGCAGGGGTGGAACCGCAGCCCTCCCGCCTTGCCACTGCGCACGCTGGAAGCTGCCTGGGAGGCTGGCCAGGTCGGCCCGTGCCCAGAGCCCCATCTGTGGCTCAGGAAGGCCTGGAGCGTCACCCCTGAGTCGGAACAGGCTCAGTGCCCTATAATGCTGCACTGACCGCTCACCTGCAAGCCTTGGGGACTCACCCACAGGCCCAGACACCCTCCCCCGCGCTCATGCAGCACATGCATGGAAGCCACCACGGCCCTTGATGGCGGCTTTACAGTTTCTTTTTTTTGTCTAAGCTCACGAGCTATTTCCAAGACACTTTCACTAAAACCATTGCAACACTGACGACCACACTGCAGAGGCCTACAGACCCAAAGAGAGGTTGCCCTCACGGGAAGACAAGTGGGTCTCCTTTCTGAGAAACAATTTGAGTTGATGGCAGCTATTTACTATTTCTCTGAATCAAAGTTACATTTAACCTAGTGAAGGGCCTCTCCAGGAGCGCAGCAGGTTGAGCACAGCGCTGTGAAGCTGTCTGCAGCCGCTGCAGCGTGAGTTCAATTCCTGGCAGGCCGGGAGATACCCACATGGCGCAGTAGGCCTCTCCTGTCTCGCCCGCTGCTCCCCTCAGCAGTGTATTTCGGTACCTCTGCCTGTTCTGCTCCCCGCTCCCTCTGGTGAATCTTCTTGCCCCCTGTGACTCTGGCCTATACCCCACTTCTAAAAAAAAAAGGTAAAACAAAAACAAAAACCTAGTGGACTTATCTGACTTCAAGGAATAAAATGATTTTTAAAAGGGTAACAATTCATCAGAGGAGACCAATGTGATAAACACAATTTTCCCTGGATTTCCTGGTGGGGGAGAAGGCCATACTTCATGATCCCTTTGAGGGTCCATGTTACTGCCGTGTGTTCGCCTCGGAATGATCCTGCATCAGACCTTCCGCATGAGGGGGTCCCTGCAGGCGTCCATCAAGGGTTGAGCATGCCCTCTCCTGCTGCTCTGCATAGTGTGCACCCAGGGCACCCAAGGGCACACCCAGGCGTTTGTGACTCGATTCAGCCAGAGCACTGGTCGGCCTGAGACTTGGATGATCTTTTAAAAACGTTTAATTTTGAAATAGTCACAGACTTAGAAACCAGGTGGAGTACGTCACAACACACTTCCTCCTGATCTAGGTGAGGGTAGCTAACCTGATATCTCGTCAACTCTAAACCTCGCAAGAGTAAGATCTTTGCTCTACACAACCACAAACGCTCCTCACAACAGGAAGTTCACATGACTCGCTGCCACCACCGCACCCTCAGCCCCATTCACGGGCCCCACTCGCCCCGGGAGCGCTGAGCAGTGGCCAGGCCACCTGAACATCCCATGACCTGCCTCCTTCCCCTCCACCAGCCTGGGGCGGCTCCCCACAGCCCTTCCCGGACACTCACAGCCTCCTCACAGGTCACTAACCACCCCTCAATTTGCCCCTGTCCACCATGCTTCAGGTCACCACCTTCTCCAGGCCAGCATAGGTAAGCCCGCGTCCTACCAGCTATGTGGGATCGTGGTACCATCGTTACTGGTGGTGTTCACTTTGATCCCTCGGTAAGGCGTGTCTGCCGCGACCCTCCATGTGAAGAAATGTGAAGAAGTACTTTGTGATAAATAAGTACTCTGTGGGGAGCTGCTGTGAAACAACATAAAAGACCTGCCCTTGGGCCTCCCCAGGTGGCACAGGCGGTTGAGCACAGCACTGTGAAGCTGTCCGCAGCCTCTGCAGTGCAGATTCAATCACGGCCAGCTACAGAGATACCCACATGGCGCAGACCGCTCCTGTCTCGCCCGCTGCTCCCCTCAGCAGTGGATTTCATTCAGTCTGCCTGTTCTGTTCCCCACTCTCTCTCTGGTGAATCCTTTCACACACACCCTCCCGCACCTCTGGGCTGTACCCCGGTTCTTGTATGCATGTATAAATAAAATCTTAAAAAAAAAAAAAAAAAAGATCTGCCCTTCATCAGCTTTCCGTGTGTGGTTCAGAATCCATCACTGTGACTTATTTATTTTGGTGCTTAAACTGGCCTTGGTTTGGCCAAGAAAGAGCACTCGAGCCGGCACGTCCTTTGCACGGGCCCCTTTCACTCCACGAGTACTTGCTCACTTCCTGGCGCCACTGCACCCTGCACTCCCCTGCCGCAGCTCTGCAAACAGTTGTCCCTCTCGACCCCCCAAGAGCCCTAGTTCCTCTAGGAACTAGGAACAGTCACGATGGGGGTGCGAGCCTTGCTCAGAGCTAACCACCCATGGACACGCTGTTTGTGTGCAGGGACACATATTGACATACACACAGACATGCACACCCTCACCACACACACGCCTATCAAATGTATTCCTGTGTCGATCTAGACATACTGAAAACCAGGCATTAACCCACACCTCTAATTTCAGGGTTCATTTTAATATTCCCCCTTTTCATAACTCTCTTCTTTCATCAATCTGCTTATATGTAAATAACCGCCCACCCCGGCTGCCCCAGCCACCAACTCTGACTCCCTGGGCTGTGCCATCGAATGATAAGGACAGCATAAAAACCTATCCATCGGAATCCTGTGCAACTCACAGAAAATTCTTGCTTCATAACTGCTCCTAATGTGCACAAGCCGTCCTTGCCTCATGTAATGAATCACCATATGCCAGAGACGATGACACGCGATACAGTTTAGAATCAAGAAAATCGGGTGGCACAGGGGTTACGATGCAGCACAATGAAGCTGTCCGCAGCAACTGCAGCATGAGTTCAATTCCCAGCCAGGGAGCTACCCACAGGGCGCAGCAGACCTCTCCTGTCTCCCCACTGCTCCCCTCAGCAGTGGATTTCAGTCGATCTGCCTGTTCTGCTCCCCACTCTGTCTCTGGTGGATCCTCTCACCCCCTGCATCTCTGGCCTGAACCCCAGCTCTGGTATTTATAAATAAATAAGTCTTTAAAAAAAACAGAATCAAGAAAATCTAGAAGAAATGGTTCAATAAAATGTGAAGAGTCCATAACACAAAGCACTACTTACAAAATTTACCGAAGAACTCAAGAGATCAGTCACAAGAGAAACTGCTCATATTTACCAGCAGCGAGCCACCCGGGCCTCTGGGCCAGCTGTGACGCTTATTTCCCAACCAGCACATCTCTCCCTTGCTGGCCCAGCCTGCTCCACCTTGTAGAGGCGATAAATCAATAGTTGCGAGTTCCAGACACAAAAACATTAAATAAAAGCAAAGTAATCTTGGGCCTCCCCCAGTGGCGCAGCGGTTGAGTGCTGGGCTGGAAGCTGCCCGCAGCCTCTGCAGCAACAGTTCGATCCCCAGGTGAGGGGGTCCCACATGGCGCGCAGACCTCTCCTGCCACGCCCGCTGCTCCCCTCAGCTGTGCACTTCATCAGTCTGCCTGTTCTGTTTCCCACTCTGGCTCTGGTGAATTCTCTCACCCTGCCACGCCCGCTGCTCCCCTCAGCTGTGCACTTCATCAGTCTGCCTGTTCTGTTCCCCACTCTGGCTCTGATGAATTCTCTCACCCTCCTGTGCTTCTGACTGTACCCAGTGCTTGTATAAATAAATAAATCTTAAAAAAAAAAAAAAAGGCAAAGTAATCTTACCAAAATATCTTTTATTGCAATTCTCATCACTTTTTCAGTCTCATTTATTTCCAGAGGTCTGGCAATTGCTTCTGTTCTCAGTTCCTATGGAAAACAATGAAGTCACGTTTTCAAAAGAATAATTCTCAAAACCAACTCCCAGATCTTTATATTGCTGGTGGACAGTTCGCAACAATTTCATGACAGCGTGGATCTCGTTATACACTCTTCTGCCGTCACCTGCTCAAATGCTGATTCTCCACCCCTGCTACCAGCTTGGCCTCTCTCTCAGCTCAAGGCCCTCCTGGTAGCTACAAGGCCCATGTCCCCCTAACACCATGGGCAAAAATGAGCTGACCATCCTTATCTTTTCTCCCACATTAGCTTCTTTCCCTGCATTCTGCTCAAGTGACCCCACACTAAGTGCAATGTAACTTGCTACACTTTCTGCAGCTGATGACAAGCGTCACGGTGCCCTGTCTCTCCCCAAGCATTTCCCATCCATCATCAAGGGGCATTTGTGCCTGTCACAGAAGTACCAGAATCTCCTGTGACATGGGATTTGAACATCAATGCAGTGATGAGGCTCCTGGAGCACTTCTCAAACTCTGTCTTGTGCTTCCTTTATTCCACAATCCACCTCATGTGCCCACTGGCAGAGAACCACCATGGGCAGGATCATGACTTACTCGAGGGCACATGGCTGGTGCCTTGCCGAGGCTGGTGTTGGTCCTCAGTGAATGTTTGCTGAGTGGACAATAGACAAATTTTGGAGAGGGCATCTTCCCTGGATTATGACTGCTCAGAGTTTGAAGTTCTACACTCAGAGGGTCATGGTTTCTGGCAACAGTTCAGCCACTGATGGCTGCACCGACTCATTATGGAATGGTGCTAAAAGTGCCCCCACTGGTGTCATGGTGACACAGCTCCAGTGGCGACGAGCAAGTGAGCAGCTCTCATCCAGGGCCTGCTAGGAATGTGTGTAGACACATGTGTACTACACCTGAGCAGGACTCCCCGAAAGCCTGGAGCTGCCTTGTAAGTCAAGTAGCGAGCAGACACTCATGGTAGTTTTGTCTGGCAAGCATGTTTAACCAAGTGGCAACCACCAGGTCAATATATCAAGAGGAGACGGTGACCAGGCACCCAGCCCCCTTCCCGAGACTCCCATTTCCACTGTGCTCCAGGCACAAAGGCAGGGCAGGAGGGAGACACCATTATACTGCAGCACCAAGGCCAGAGCAGCCACAGCAGACACACCTGATGGCAAGGGAATGAATTAAATGTACTTAAAAACACCAGGCGTGAGCACGTTTGCCTCAGATGTCGTAAATTCTTATAGGGCAGGAAGGGATTAAAGAATAAGAATAATAACTCCACTTCTTAACCTGTGGGCTCCAGACTCTGCTGTACATTAGAATCACTGGATCACTTGAGGAACTTTAAAAACCAGATGGCTGGGCCTCCCTGGTGGCCTAGGGGTTGAGTCTCAGGCTGTCACTGCTTTGGCCTGAGTTCAATCCCCCGCCAGGGAGCTGACCCCCGTGGCGCAGCAGACCTCTCCTGTCTCCCCGCTGCTCCCCTCAACAGTGTATCTCAATAGATCTGCCTGTTCTGCTCCCCACTTTGTTTCTGGTGAATCTGCTCATGCCCCGCACTTCTGGCCTGCGCCCCAGCTCTTCTATGCAAAAATAAATTTAAAAAATCTTAAAGACCATGCCCCCTTACGCCCTCCCAAGGGGATACCACCGGGCAGCAAGATTTGGGAACCATGGGCTTCTGGGAGGCTGCTGAGAACACAGGCTGAGTTCACCCCGCAGGCACCACAACTCCTTTGTGGGCACAAGGAAAGTTTCATCAACACGCCGCCTACTGGCCACTTCTGACCCAGCAGCAGAGGGGTAGCTGCGGACACAGATGCTGCCCAGCTGCCTGGAAGCTGCTTACCCTGAGCTCCACCTCCTTGCCCAGCAGGTCATACAGAGACGCGCCTTTGGAGGTGATTTCAGAAGCGAGCTGCCTGGCTGCTTTCAAATCTGCAATCTGGAAGGGAAATACCAAACCCAGAAACCTCAGTCACAGGTTTTTAATAGGCATCCAGAAACAACCAGTCTGTTCACATGAATTCCCACCTCTGGTCAGGATAGCTGACTACAGAGCACATTTTCCACAAGGCACATCTTTACATCCTGCAGAAGATCCCACGTGCAACTCAAACAAACGCCAGGACTCCTCCGTCTCCCTGAGAAAACCACACTGTCCAGTCAAATATAATATTCCTACAGCCAGGAAGTGTTAGAGGGTGAAAGCAGACACAATGCCCTCGTGGGCCAGGTCCCAACAGGGGAGCTGTTCTATGGGGGGATGGGACCTGGGGAGCTGGATCTGCTTGTACCGTCACTCTCTGTGCTGGTGACTAAAGACTCCACTTTGAACTCTGGGATGTTTACACTCTCCGAGGCTTCAGCCACACCTGGCAGCTCGGTCTTGCTCCTGACATCTGCCCCCCAGAGCAGCTCTCACAGTCACTCTGCTCAGTCACCGACACCTTGTGCTTTCTGACTGGCATCTCTGCCTCCCGCTTCAGTCTGCTCTCAACCCAGCAACCAAAGTAGCCCTTTAACATGAAATTCAAATCGTGCACTTCTCTGCTCACAGATTTCCCCTTTAGAAGAAAAGTCAGGGCCTCCCCTGGTGGCACAGCGGTTGAGCGCTGGGCTGAGAAGCTGCCCACAGCCTCTGTAGTGCCGGTTCGATCCCCGGCCGCCAGCGAGGGTCCCACAGAGCACAGACCTCTCCTGCCGCCCGCTGCTCCCCTCAGCAGTGTATTTCGTCAGTCTGCCTGTTCTGTTCCCAGCTCTGGCTCTGGTGAATCCTCTCACCCTCCCACACTTCTGACTGTACCCAGTGCTTGTATAAATAAATAAACAAATCTTCAAAAAAAAAAAAAGAAGAAAAGTCAGACTTCACCGTGGCTTCCTGGCACCATGTGTTCTCTCTGACCCCTTCCCGTACCACGACCCCCTTCGTCTTCCTCAAACACACAGAACACACCCTTATCAAAAGGCATGTGCCCCATGGGCCTCCCTGGTGGCGCAGTGGGTTGAGCACAGCACTGTGAAGCTGTCCACAGCCTCTGTAGAGCGGTTCAATTCCTGGCCGGCTCGGGAGATTCCCACATGGCGCGGCAGACCTCTCCTGCCTCACTCGCTGCTCCCCTCAGCAGTGTCTTCAGTCCATCTGCCTGTTCTGTTCTCTGCTCTGTCTCTGGTGAATTCTCTCACCCTCCTGTGCCTCTGTGCCCCATTTCTTGTATAAATAAATCTTTTTTTAAAAAAAAAGGCACGTCCCCCTTCAAGGAGAAACCCCTGCAAGGCTTGCTCATTTCCCTCCTTCAGATCTCTGCCGAAAACCCCTCCAATCCCAATGCCAGCCTGTCCCCCTCCTAAAGACACCTCTCGGCCTCCCCAGCCCCTGCTGAGTTGCAGTTCTCCACACGCCTGACCACACCTGACCTGCCATTCCTTCTGCTCATTGTTACTCCCCCAACTGCAGCGTAGGAGCCAGGCCTGCCCACCCTGCGCACGCCTGTGTCCCCAGTGCCTGTGCAGCGCCGGCAGAGTGCGGTTTCAAAAACAGTTGATTTATCGTGACTCCTGCTTTTATCCAAATGCCAATGCATTCAAAACTGACAAACTACCCTCAGTTAACAGAACAAAGAAGGAAACAGTGTTATGACTACCAGACATGTTTCATTCCAAGTTTAAGAAATAAGCTCTAGGGCCTCCCCGGTAGTGCAGCGGTTGAACGCTGGGTTGGTTGAGCGCTGGGTTGCGAAGCTGCCCGCAGCCTCTGCAGCGCCGGTTCAATCCCTGGCCACCAGGCGAGGGTCCCACATGGCGCGCAGACCTCTCCTGCCGCCCGCTGCTCCCCTCAGCAGTGTACTTCGGTCCCTCTGCCTGCTCTGCTCCCCGCTCTGGCTCTGGTGAATTCTCTCACCCTCCCGTGCTTCTGACTGTACCCAGTGCTTGTATAAATAAATAAATAAATCTTTAAAAAAAAAAAAAAAAAAGGAAATACGCTATCACTATGAGGCTCTCACTGGTCCTTACCTTTGAGCCAAGATCAAACTTGAACTTGCTGATGTCTTCCTCTCCTATTTTAGAGCCCTCTAGGCCTTTGGTCTTCATGGCATTATAAAGCACAGAGGTGATCTTCAGTAGTTCTTTCACTGCATATCCATCTGCTTGATAAAGCTTCTTGGTATTGAGTTTTATATGTGCCTTGGTGGCCTATTTTCAGACCAAAAAAAGAGTTTAAAGCCCTTTGCATGTAAAATATAAATGAAATCCCGTGAAGGTAATTTACAAATGTTTCTGCTGACAAGTGGGATATAACCATTAGGTTATATGAAGAATCAAACTCTCATGTGACTCATACATCGTGAGTCAGGGTGCACACTAGTGCAGTGTCAATGGAGAGCAATCTGGGAAGTGATGACAAAATCACAAATGTACCTCTTCTAATCCAGAGAGTCCAATCCTAAGAATTAAAACTATGCATGTACACAACAAAATATGTACAGGTTATTCGTTAGAGCGCTGTTTCAAAGAGCAAGTGACAAACAGCCTAAATGTATACCTGGATAAGTTATACACCTGATGGCATCTGTGCAAGCAACACTACTCAGGCGTAAGAGAGAATGAGGGAATCAACATGTATTTGGTAAATTCTCTAAAATTTACCAATTAAGCGAAAAAAACAATATTCTAAATAGTGGTGTATAACATGCCGCCATTGTGTAAAAGAATATATATCCTATTTGCTTAAAGAAACCCTAGAAGATACTGGAAATAGTGGTTATAGGGAATGGAAGTGAGCAAATGGCAGATACAATAAAAAGTGATTTTACACTGTATCAAGTCATGATTTAAAAAAATCTTTTGACTCACAAAATGTATTTCCTATTTTAAAATAAAATTATTAATAAAGAATTTCAAAAAAAATTTTCTGATAAATGGCTCCACTTCAGTACCAGAAACCTGGTCCGTCTTTCTAACGTAGCTAATTTTATGACTCAAATCACATTTGCCATGAACTAACCATGAACTGGGCAATCGCCTTAATGAAGAAAACTCGGTCCTGTTCACTCTCGACATCAGAAGGGATGTCAGTCTGCGGTTCATACCTGTGCCACAGAGAGAAGACACGTCACTCAAGCGGAAAATCTACCAAAGAGAAAGTGGACTACTGAGAGCTGGAGCTGCGAAAGGAAGCTCTCCCAGCGCCCAGCTAAGGCAGTGACATTAGACACAACCTCAAGCGCAACACAAAACACCAAATGCCTAGTGGAGCTAACCCTCACCCAAGAGTAGGTTTAACTGACTTTGAACATTAAATGTGGGGCTCAGCTTACAAAATTAAATCTATCTCAGACCTTACAGTGTAGTTAAAAGAATCCCAACTACCACTCTGGCCGACAGCCTTTGTCCCAGAGCTGACTAATGAGCTTCGAGAAGTTGCAGTTACTGCTGCCCCATCAGGGATCAGCATTTCGCGTCCTCCGCTTTTCCATACAGCCTGCAATCTAAGAGGGATTTTACATTTAAAAAATATCGTTTAGAGCCTCCCCTCATGGTGCAGGCAGTTGAGCGCAGCGCTGTGAAGCTGTCTGCAGCCTCTACAGCATGGGTTCAATTCCTGGCCGGCTGGCGAGACGCCTACATGGCGTGGCAGATCTCTCCTGTCTCGCCCGCCTTTCTGTTCCCCACTCTGTCTCTGGTGAATCATCTCACCCTCCCGCACATCTGGCCTGTACCTGGGTTCTTGTATGCATGAATAAATAAATCTTTGAAAAAAAATTACAAAAATTAAAAAAATCTTTTTAAAAAGTTGCAGTTACGAAAGATCTCTGCTATGTATTTTTGTGTGTGTTTTAAATGATATTTTAATTAATTTATTTATTTTTAAAGATTTATTTATGCATATAACAGCTGGGGTACAGGCCAGAGGTGTTGGGGGGGGTTGAGAGAATTCACCAGAGACAGAGTGGGGGACAGAACAGGCAGATCAACCAAAGTACACTGCTGAGGAGAGCAGCAGGGAGACAGGAGAGGTCTGCTGCACCATGTGGGTAGCTCCCTGGCCAGGAGATCCAACATGCTGCAGTGGCTGCTGATAGCTTTATAGGTTGTACCTTAACCCCTTGTGCCACCAGGGAGGCCCCATAACTGCAACCTTTAAAACAAAGTTTGTGAATTGGCAAAGCCTGAATCCTAAAAGATTTTACCACAGGGCAATGTAAATTATTTCTCATCAGGGGAGCTCCCTGTCACTCCGGGTGCAGGTGTAGTGGGGAGCCTGCCCCAGTGCCCCAGCTCTGCTGCTTCCCATTGAGAAGCAGGCTTTTATCACTGGCTGGGGTGCTCCCTTCTCCCACTGCTCCTTAAATGCCACCGAGTTTGGAGAGGTGACAGCCGAGTCTGTCAAACTCAAATTTGTTTGAAGTCTTCCTCTTGCGTCACAACAGTATCCTGTTTCTAGGAAGCTAATGAATCAAATCTACTTTTCACCCTCAGGCCTCAATAAAGCACAGCTCTAACCTTTTCACAAGCCAGAGAAGCACTTCAGATACAAGTCCGAAATTCGGTGTGCGGAAATTTTCCATAGAAATGTGTCGAGGGTACCCCAAGGCTCTCATCATCTCGGTAAAATCTGTCCAAGGTAAAAGAGAATTCAGTCAGTTCCTCATTATCAACTTAGTTTTTTTTTTTTTTTTTTTTTTTTTGCTTCTCCTTATTTCCAACCCATGGACGTGGTTTGGGGGACTCCATCAACTCTCTAAGGAGGTTTTCAAAAATTAAAAAAAATAATGATCTGCAACCTAGACAGCATTTAAGTTCATTGGGCATTAGTGGTTGGCCTGGATTCACCAGACAGTAGTTGTCGGTTTTTTGAAATCTGAAGTGATGGAAATAAAGCAGCCGCCGCCCCATCACACGGCACCGGCACCCAACCCTCGTCCTGCTGCAGCGTCACTGTCCAAAGGGGATGAGCTGAGGAAGAGTCTTATCCCAAACCGCACAATTGCTTGACATTTATTAGTGACCAAAATGTTCAGAAATCCACTTCTACATTCTTCCCAAAACAACTCCTCCAGAGGCCCAGCAGAGCGCTGGCCTCACCCAGGGGCGCGTGGGAAGGGAAGCCGTCCGGGGCGCGGAGACGGGGTGCGCCCCGCGCGCGTTCTCACTGGGGAAAAGGAGCACCTCGGAACTGGAAGGAGTGATTTTTAAGGTGAAATTTCAGGGACCAGCACCAGGCTAGAAAACGTGCGTGAAGGGCTTCTTCGGCCCGCGCGGCCTGGGCAGGTGCGCAGGGGCCTCGACAGCCGGATTCGGGACACGAGCGCCCGAAGGCAGGAGCCGCGTCCCGCCACCCCCGCCCGCCCGGCCCGGCCCGCGGGCCCCGCAGCAGGCGGCGCCGCCCCCCCCACCCCCCCCCCGCCCGGGCCTCGCTGCGGCTCTGGAGGACGGGCCTGGAGAGGGCCCGGGGAAGGCGAGGACCCGCGGCAGCAGTGGCGGGCGCTCCCCCCGCCCCCTGACAAGGGTTTTCGGGGTCCCCGCCCGCGGCCTCCTCGGCCTGTGCGCGCGGGCGGCTCCGCGTCCCGGCGGGGGCCTCGGGGGCCGCAGGCGTCGCGAGCCGCGGTCCCCCCGCCCCCCGGCGTCGCGGTCGCCCCCGCGCCCTGGGCCACGCACCCCGCAGGCCGGGCCCGCGACCCCCCCGCCCGCCGGGTCAGGCGGCCCCGCGCCCCCCGCGCGCGAGCGGCCGCCTCGGGGCCCGGGGTGGGGGCGGCGCGGGCCGCCGCGGGCTCGGGCAGGGGAGGGGGCGCCGCGGGCTCGGGGCCGGGCGGCCTTACTGCGGAGGTCGCGGAAAGACATGGCGCTCGGCCCGGGGCCCGCGTCCGCCGCGCTCGCCCCTCGGCGCGCCGGTCTCCACGGCAACCGACGGGCCCGCGAGCCCCGCCCCGACGGCGAGCGGCAGGGGCCAAACAGGCGGCGGCGACGCGGCCGGGCCAGCGCGCATGCGCACCGGGCGGCGGGCGCGGGGGGTGGGGCGCGCGGCCCCGGGGTCACCCCCTGCGCGCGCGGGGCGCGGGCTGACACGGCCGGGGCGCCCACCACGGGCCGGCGCCGCGCCAGGGGCGCCCCTGCTGCTCCTCACGCGCGGCTGGCGCCCCAGGCAGATGCGCAGTGGCGCGCGCCTCCTCCGGGCCCCCGTCCGCCGGCGTCGGGGCGCGAGCGCTCCGCTGGGGCCCGCGGGGCTCCCGCCGCCGCCTCGCCCCGGGCCGGAAACGCTTCCGGGTCCGCGTGCGCCGGCGGTTGTCCTGGCAACCGGGCCGCGTCCGCGGGGGCGACGCGAGCTGAGCCGGGCCGGGCCGGGCCCGGGCGCCGAGGAGGCCGCGAGGCGCCCTGTCGCGCTCTGCCCGTCGCGGATGTCGGCGCAGGCGCTGGCTCCACGGGCGCGGCCCCCCCCGGACCCCGAAATACACCCCGGAGAGGGTGGGCGCCGGGGCAGGGAACGTCCGTGCAGACAGGCTTCCAGGAAATGGCGTTTGGAAATTGGAAATCCTTGCGCCGTAGATGAACCTCCGCCCCCGCTTGACGCGCCGTGGAAAAATTAACCAGAAAACATGCCCCCCACTCCATGGGACGCCCAAGGCCTGCACGTTCTGGGGGAGAAAGCGAGGGACAAGCTCTGTGGCCGGGTGAGCGGGATCTCTTAGCCGTACCACCCCAAGAAGGAGCCTTGCAAAAATGTTTTTTGATAAATTGGACCATCAAAATTTAAAATCGGTGTCTTCGAGACACTTGAGAACATAAGCGCATATACTTAACCCTCAGGCTTCAGAAATAAGAAAACAACCGATAGAAAACTGACAAGGGCCTCCCCTGGGGGCGCAGGCGGCGGAGCGCCGGCTCTGGAGCTGCCTGTAGCCTCTGCAGCGCCGGTTCGATCCCCGCCGCCTGGGCGAGACCCTCTCCTGTCTCCCGCTGCTCCCTCGGCAGTGCTTTCGGTCGGTCTGCCTCTTCTGCTCTGTCTCTGGTGAATCCTCTCACCCTCCCACGCCTCTGGCCTGTACTTGTATAAATGAAATAAAAATCCTAAAAAAAAAAACACACAAAAATGTAAAGATATTTCACAAAAGGCAAATGGCAAAGAATAAGGAAACGGGGCCTCCCTGGTGGCACAAGGGGTCAAGTCTCAGCACTAGCCCCAGCCACGGCCACCTGAGTGCAAGCCCCGGCCAGGGAGCTGCCCACAGGGCGCGGCAGACCTCTGCCGTCTCTCCGCGGCGCCCCTCAGCAGTGGATTTCGGTGGATCTGCCGGGTCTGCTCCCCACTCTGCCTCTGGTGAAGCCGGTCACCTCCTGCACCCCTGACCTACACCCCACTTCCTGTATGCATAAATAAATAAAAATAATTTTTTTAAATAAGGAAATGGAAAGATACTGAAGACATTAGTCATTAGGGAAAAGCAACTGAAACTGCAAACAAGCAGACTCACCTGCTCATGGGCGCTTCCAGTGCAGCTGGTGCAGGTGTTCATGTAGACACCCGTGCGTGGACTTGGGCTTTCTTTTCTCTTCAGTAAATAGCTAGGCATGGCACGTCAGAGCCATAAGCCATATTGAACATTTTTATTATTTTTAAACATTTATTTATTTATGCACACAAGAACTGGGGTGCAGGCCAGAGGTGTGGGGGTGAGAGGACTCACCAGACACAGAGTGGGGAACAGAACAGGCAGATCGACTGAAATCCACTGCTGAGGGGAGCAGCAGGGAGACAGGAGAGGTCTGCTGTGCCATGTGGGTAGCTCCCTGGCTGGCTGGGGATGGAACCCGTGCTGCAGTGGCTGGCGATAGCTTGACGACGCTCTGTCTTTAACCCCTGCGCCACCAGGGAGGCCCCAAACATTTTTTTAAAAAATAAACTTTTAATTTTAGAGTAGTTTTAGATTGGCAAAGAACTTGCAGGTAGTACAGAGTTCCCATGCCCTCACCCCATCTGCTGTTAATATCCTCAACTATGATACATTTGTTGCAATTGATGAACCAACACGGATACATAATTATTAACTAAAAATCAGACTTTATGCAGATTTCCTTAAGTTATACCTAACGTCCTGTTCTGGCCAGGCCCCAGCTAGTCTTTAGCCCCCTCTCCGCGATGCCAGTTCTCAGGATCTCCTTGTGGTGATCTTGACGGCGTTGAATACCGGCCCATTGTGTGTACTAGCTGTTCACTGGGGTCAAATTTACTTTTCAATGTACAACTCAGTAGAATTAAGTACATTCGCAGTGTTGTTCCACACTATAAAACACATTTCAGGGAACATGTTTCCAATGAAGGAGTCACCTCCCATTTCTTCTGTCCCTCAGTCCCTGGCGATCACTAATCTGCTTTCTGTCTCTACAGATTTATTTGTTTTGGACATTGCTTAGAAATGGACTCACATGTGGCCTCTCGTGTCGGGTTTCTTCCACTGAACATAATGTTTTTGAGGTTCGTCCCCACGGCGGCCTGGAGAGCACATCAGTCCTTCTTGTAAATGAGTAGTTCTTCAGATGAACACACCGCAGCTTATCCACTTGTTAGCTGATGGATGCTTGGACATTCCCACTTTTTTACTAAGAATGATGCTCTCGTGAACATTTGTGCACAGGGGCATATTTGAATACCTGTTTTCAATTCCTAGGGGGTGTAGACCCTGAAGAGTGGCATTGCTGGGTGTTAATTCCATGTTTACCTTGCTGAGGAACTGAAAACTGCTTCAAAGTGACTGTACCATTTCACATTCCCACCAGCAGTGTAGGAGAATTCTGATTTCTCCACATCCTAACACCTGTCATTACATACATATATATATATAAATAGGCATACTCGTGGTTGTGAAGTAGCGCCCCTCTGTGGTTTTAGTTTGCATTTCCCTAATGTTAAACTTTTTTTTAATGCTTGTTAATCATTTGTATACCTCTGAATAAATATATGTTCAAGCTCTTCATCCACTTCAGGGGACTCCCTGGTGGCCTAGGCATTAAGTCTCAGCGCTATCACCGCTGCGGCATGCGTTCGATCCCGGGCAGGGAGCTGGCCCACATGGCGCAGCACCGTCTTTTTGTTGTTCAGTTCTTCATACTTGGATACTAACCCTTCTCAGAGATATGACTTGCAAATATTTTCTCCCATTTTTGCAGTCTGTCTTTTCATTTAATAGTGTCTTTTGCAGCACAAAAGTTTTTAATTTTGATGAAGTCAAATGTATCTATTTTTTGCCATTTGTCGTTTGTGGGTTTGATGTCATCGCCAGGAATCCATTGCCAAATTCAAGGTCATGAAGATTTGCTGTCTGCTAAGAGTTTTATAGTTTCGCCTCTTATATTTAGGTCTTTGATGCATTTTTAGTTAATTTTCATACATGGTGTAACATGTTCGGGTCTGATTTCATTCTTTTGTATGCGACTCTCCAGTTGTCCCAGCACCGTTTTGGGGAAAGACTATTTATGAAGAGGAATGCTTAAAGAAAATCAGTTGACCATAGGATATGGGTTAATTTCTGGGCTCACTCTTCTATGTCATTGGCCTAGGTGTCCATCTTATGTCAGCGCCACACCATTTGTTACTGAAGCATTGAATTAAGTTTTGAAATCAGGGAATTTGAGTATTCAAACTCTTTCAAGATGGTTTTCAGCTATCTGGGTTCCCATGTGAACCCAATTCTTCGATCAGTTCTTCAGCCTCTAAGGTCATTGGGATTTCAATGGATTTATAGGTCTTTAGGGAGTATTGCTTTCTCTCTTTTTTTAAGATTTATTTTCACTTATTTATGCATACAAGAACTGGGGCGTAAGCCAGAGGTGTGGGAGGAGAGGATTCATGACAGAGTGGGGAACAGAACAGGCAGATGCATGGAAATCCACTGCTGAGGGGAGCAGCGGGGAGACAGGAGAGGTCTGCTGCGCCATGTGGGTCCATCTCCCTTGGCCAGGGATTGAACTCAGGCCACCGTGGCTGTCAGTAACTTGATAACGCTGAGACTTTAATCCCTGCGCCACCAGGGAGGCCCGGAGTACAGCTTTCTTAACAATCCTTTTCTTCAGTCCATGAACATGGAATATTTTCCACTTACTTTTCTTTCATTTCTCAACAAAGCACTGACCCATGTCTAACCAAGTCTGTACCCCTGAACCCTCATTTCCCACCCCCAGATGAGGACAGAGGGGCATGACCCTCCGGACTGCAAGAGCTGGGTCTGTTTTGTGTGGCATGTCCCAACCCAGAGGGGCCAGGGGCCTCCCTTAGGGTTCCCCCCTGATCCTGCCCTGGGCATCATCCTTCCCCAAACTCAGGGGTCCAAGAAAGCTGGGAGTTTCCCCTGTGACATCATAGAGCCAGTTGCCACGGGAGACCTGCAGACCCATCCCCGAGGCAGGGGAGAGCAGGGTCCTGTGGCACAGGCCTGGCTGCTCTCCCCCACACTGGCCCTCCATGGAAGCCTTGGTCTGTGCATTCTCTCAGCTGCGCATAAGAGAAGGTGCCGGGCTGTGGGGAGGAGGAGCGGCAGGATAGACGCCCTCCTGTCCCGACCTGGCCCGACCTGGGCCCCAAGCCACCGGGGTGGCCTCAGGGAATGCATGCTTGGGGGAGGGGAGTGGCCACTGGTCCAGGCCACGTGCCCCCGACCCCTGTTCAATTTCTATCCTGGCACCGGAATACTTTCTAGGGTAGGGGGCTACAGAGGGTGGCAGGAAGCTCTCCAAGTCCTGAAAGAGAGCTTGGTGCCACGCTCTGGGCTCCTCAGGCCTCCCCGTGGGTTGGGAGAGGGAGGAGGTGTGATGGGGGAGGCGGGACAACCGGACTGAGTCCTTCTGACAGACAGGCGGGCCGGGCAGGCCAGAGTGGGTGGACGGGAGCTGGTGAGCGGTCAGTGTGAGGGCGCTCTCAGGCCTGCCCTGCCCACCCCTCCTGCTCTCCCCTCCGCAGATGCAGTGAGCTGGGCCCGAGGACGCGCCAGCCACCCCGATACGCCACCCAACATCTACGAGGGGGGGCTGGGGGCCCAGCAGCAGCAGTGCCCCAGCGCCCAGGGAAGCAAGCCCAAGAACTTCCGGCTGCGCCACCTCCGGGCCCTGGCCCTCTACCTGCCGGGACACATGCGGCCCGCTGGTCAGTGCGAGAGCCACTGGCTGGGCCGCCTGATGGCCGGGGGCTGCCTCCCCAGTCCTCAGGCCATGGCCTGGCCCCTGGACCTGCCACGGGGGACTCTGGGCCCAGGTAACAGCCACTGCTCCACCCTTCTGGAAGCTCAACTGCCCAGGGGCAGCCTGGGAAATACAGGTGAGGCCGAGGCTGGGGCCAGGAGGAACCCCAGGGTAGGACTGGGACTCGGACGTGCCCAGAGGGTGCTTCTCCTCCCGCAAGACTCCTGGGCCCCGTGCTAGCCCTGCCCTGTTGAGGGACGTCGCCAGCTCTCCCCTTGGCTGACGCTCTTTTCCCATCGGTAAAATGAGGGGTTCGGGTTAGATGAGGGGCCTTCCCATTTGTTCCCCTTTCTCGGGGTTCCCTTTAAGAGCTACCGCTCCTCCCCTCTTTGGAGGACACTGGGTTCTGGGGTCACGGGGGGGGGGGGGGGGGGGCTGTGCTGGCCCTGGCGGGGCCCTCCTGACGCCGCCTCTCTCCTCTCCTCAGCTTCCAGTTCCAGTGTGGACGCAGCCAAGGGTGCCCCTCCCCCGCCCCACACAGCCGAAGGCTTGGGGCTCAGGCCCAAGAGGTCCTGGCGGCCTTCAGAGGAGCCCCCGTGTCCTTTGTGCAAGAGAACCCGCTCGGGGGCCCTGGAGAGGCCATAGGGATCCCCTGCCAGGGCTGTTCTCCCGGCTGGACGGGAGGGGCAGGATGCCAGGGATGCCCTCGAGGGGGGCGGGCCCACAGGAAGGGCTCTGCCAGGCTGTGATCCCAGCTGGAGCCTCCGGCCTGTCGCCGGCACGGAATCTGGGTGGGGGGCGGGAGGCGGTCCCGGGAAGGACAGAGAAACAGCAGCCGGGGTGCCCTTGCAGCCTGCTCCATCCCCAGGCAGCCACTGGAGCCCGGGAGGCCGGGCTGAGCGGAGAGTAGCTCCCGAGAGGCCGAGAGGCCGGGGAGCCGCGGGTCTAACCTCAATAAAAGCCAAGGCCAGCACCTACCTGCCCCGCCTGTGGTCATCGGGCCAACCCCATCAGCCCCTGGGCCTGGGCCGGGCGCTCCCACAATAGTCGAGGCTCCCGGGGGCAGAGGGCAAAGGCAAGGCAGCGGGGCTTGGCAGGCTGCGGGGAGGAGCGCGAGGGTCTGGCCGGGCAGAACCTTAGCAGGGGCCTGTCCTGCACGGAGACTGGGCTGCGCCCACCGCTCCACGGGGACCGAATGGCCTGTCCCAGCAGGGTGGACACAGCCCTCCACCCCGAGCTGGGAGAGACTGCGGGCGCCGGCCGGGCTCGCCTGTGCTCAGGGTGGGGGCTGCTTCTCAGCCCAGCTGGCGCTGGGGGCCTCCCTGTGCTTGGGGGCGCCCTGTGCGCTGTGGCTGTCCAGCAGCACGCCCAGCCCTGCTCACCTGACCGCTGGCATCCTGTCCTGTGAAATTGTCTCCAGTGTCTTCTGGGGGTCAGAAGCATGTGAGACACCCCACACCCCTCAACATCACTGGGCCCAGCCTGCTGGGAATCTGAGGGGAGCCCAGGGTCCACCCCGCCCCCGCTGTCTGGCTGGTGGTGGCAGCCAGGCCAGTCAGGTCTGGTCAGCACCGCAGGGGTGTCAGGGATGCGCTGGACACCCACACAGTGGGTTCCTTTCGGAGGTGGGGGTGCTCCCTCAGGTCCCTCCCCTGCCCCTAGACATTGCATAAGTGCCCAGGCTTCTGCCCCTGGGGGTTTCAGAAGTGTGGGTGGCCTGCGTGCGAACCCCAGGCTCTGCATCTGAGCCCACTACCCTCCAGGAACAGCCCAGGGACAGGCAGGGAGGGATGCGGCCACCGGATGAGCCCCCTAGAGCGAGGGACTGCGGCTCGGGAGGGCTGCCCCAGCACCAGCAGCAGCCCAGGCACTCGGCAGGAGCAGGTCCCAGGGGCCGCAGCTCGGGACATGCAGGCCGTGGTGGCCGCCGCAAGCTGTGTCCTGGTGTCCTGGCCCCTGGCAGCAAACCCTCCTTGACCTGGGGCCAGCTCTGGGTCTTGCTTTATCAATGGCATGTGGTGGGAGTGACACGGGGTCACTTCTGGGCACAAAGGAGGCCTGACAGCTTCCAGCATGCCCAGGAAGAAGGCCCCAACGTCGGGGAAACCAACCCAGCCTGGGGGAGGCCACATGGAGGGAACCAAGGCCCAGGCCAAGCTCCTGGCCACCTGGGAGGCAGGCCCTCCTCGGCGTTGTTGCCACTGCCCTGGCAGATGCGTGGAGAGCAGAGCACAGCCCGGAGGACTAACTGAGCTGACCAGCAACCTTCCTAAGTTCCCGAGCTTTCTGGAAGTGCACCTGGAAGAGGCCAAGAAGCAGAATGGGCCCAAGTGGCTGCACCCCATTTCCAGGTGTCACTCTCAGCCCTGGAAGACTGTCCCAGAAACCTGAGTGGGGGGGCCACTGCTGCCTTCAGGGGTCAACCTTTCTACCCTGGCTGCACAACTGACCAAGGGCCCCAGGAAGTCATCCCCTAAACTCGGCGTTGACCCACTGGCAGGCCAAAGTAGACAAGCGCACCTGGTGGAGTAACCAAGAGCGGAGCTGGGGGGATGGATAGGGGGAGGCTGGGGGGCCAGGCCGGCTCCTGCCAGGCCACAGCCCAGCTCTGCAGCTGCCTCAGGCCCCATGCCCAGAGGCGGCCTGGGTGAGCCCCAGCAGGGGAGCCAGGGCATGGGGCATGCCCCGGGCCCATCACTGACCACCTGCATGCTCCTGGGTAGTTCCTGAGCCCCAGGGTGTCCAGAGACTCCAAGGAGAGGTTGGTGGAAACAACTGGTGCCCTGCCTCTGGCTCCCATGATGGGGTGTCCTGGCTCAGGACCCCCCCAGGCTCCTGTGGGGACGGTGCACTGGCCCTAGGTCCTCACCTGATAATGGCGTCGAGCTGCCCTCTCTAAGCCAGGAGCGCGCCCCAGAGGCCTGTCTGACCCAGGCTGAGCGCTGGCCGGACCCTGGCCCGGCAGCTGCTGAGCCCTTCCTGCCTTCAGGGGCGGCAGCCAGTAGCACCCTCAGCTGCAGGCCCCCTGCCAGGGCCGCACTGGCCACAGAACTCGCGTCACGAGACCACGGGCCCGTTGGCTGGGGGACAGCAGCTCCGGGGCCACCCTCAGCCCAGGGCTGACCCCGCAGGGCAGGGCGCGAGAGCAGGGAGCTGCTGCAAAGACGGAGTGACCAGTTCAGGCTGTTTACTCGTTTGTAATGAGACGCAGCGACCCGGTCAGCGCTGGGCTGACGCCGCCATGGGTGCAGGGGCAAGGTCTGTGAGAGCGGTCGTGAAAGTCCATGGCAGAACTTTCCTGAAGACTCTTCCTTTGCCCGACGGGGCAGAAATAAAAATCACATGATCACCGTTGATTCAGATGAAAAAGGACAGCAGCTGGGCCTCCCGTGAGGCCCCCTGGGGAGCCCTGAGGAGGGGAGGACGGACTCCCCTCCGCTGACGGGTGCGGGGTGATGCTGCAGCGCTGGGCGTGCTGCACCCCTCGGAGGGCAGGGCGGCAACAAGCAGCTCTGGGGGTACGGGGTGGTTGAGAAGCCAGGGGTAGCCACTCACGCTTCTCAGGGCTGCCAGCCTCTGTCTTCACAAGGCACAAGCCTGTTCCCAGGCCCCGCCGCATGCTCGCTTCCTCCTGTCTGCACCCAACCTGGACTCTGGGGGCTGGGTGCACCCCCGGGCCCTGGCCACCCCTGTCCTCAGCCCAGTCCCCTACTGCAGCTCAGCCACATGGAACATTCCACGAGCCCAGGGCAGGACAAGGCTGGCAGCAGGAGACTGCTAAGGATTGGGGGCCACCCATATCGGAGAGGAAGCTCCAGAGCTGTATGCCCCCCAGCCCACCACGTGCCAGCCCCTTCAAAAGGGCCCCCAGGCCTCTGCAGGCTGCTGTCCCCTGCCGATGGCCCTCCCGCTCCAAGGTGCCCGTGCTTCAGGGCCAAGTCTGTCCACAAGGGGGGGGGGCTCCTCCTCCCAGCAGCTCACTCCCACTGTGGAGGAAGGTGCAGGCAGGAACGGGCAGTGGGGGAAGAGCCGGGGCAGGGGGGTGGAGCGGGCGCCCTGTCTTTGATCGGGGGCAGCAGAAGAAACAGCACAGTGGACACCGCCACGCTCCAGCCAGCGGGGACGGGGTGGGACGGCTCGTGCACGGGGAAGCAGGAGCAGGGCTGGGCAGGTGGAGGTTTCCCGAGCGGGGAGGAGGCTGGGAAAGCCTGCAGGAGAGAGCAGAAGGGGGCAAAGGTGAAGACCCCACAGCACACACTGCCCAGCCTAGGAGCCCACCATTGGGCCCAGGGTGCCCTTGAGGCCCTAGCCTGCCACCCCGAGGTCCCAGTGCAAATGAAGGCCACGTGGCAGGTGCCAGCCCAGCCGCCACGCACACCGCTGTCACCTTCGCTGCCGTCACCCACTGCCCGCGGGGTCTATGCACAAGGCGTGGGCCGGGGGCCAAGACCCCATTGTGAAGTCTGAAGCGCCCAGCTCCCTGCCATGATGAGGCCCAGGAGAGGTCTGGACAATGTGTCTGCCAGGAGGTACCAGTGGGGCCCTGTTTAGTGGCGCCACTGCTGGTGCTAGGGTGGGGCCCTGGGCGGCCCGGGGGTCAGGGTAGCAGGGCCTGCCTTTCAGTGTGAGAATGAGTGAAAGGCATTTGGAAGTGGGCAGAACCTCCTGGCCAGGGCGTCCCGCACGCCCTCCGAGCTTCCGTAGCTGGGCCCGGGGGACTCAGCTCTCAGCGCCGCTTTCCCACAGCCCCGCACGGCAGGTGCCTGGCCAGCCTTGCTCCCGCCGCTGGAAGTCCCAGGCCTCCACTTGGCACGTCACCCCCCCACCCCCGGCTCTGTCCCCCCGCCCACCTGCTCCGGCCTACCTGTCGGAGATGGGGCACGCGCAGCCCTGCTCTGCTCTGCTGAGCCCGCGTAGCACCGGGCCTGTGGCTGGGGCAGGCCGATGGGCCGGGCGGGTGGCCGCCAGCTCCTCTGCAGAGGCCAGCTGAGGTCAGAAGGCCAGGAAGGCAGGCCCTGCAGGCCACCAAGGGATGGAGCCTGGTGAAGGCTGCCCCGCTGGCATCACATGGTCCGGCTGTACTCGATGCCACCTTTGGTGGAGATGCTGGACCATGGCAGGAAGCTGCAGAGCAGGCTGTGGGCCTGGCGGTAGAGCCTGTGCGGGATGGAGCAGGGGCTCAGGCTGGCGAGCGTAGAGCCCAGGTGCTGGATGTAGTCTGTGGGCCCCGTTAAGGAAAACGGCCTGGCTGCACTGGCCCCGGTGCCCTGAGACAGTCAGCAGGGCCCACACACGACCCCCGAGGCGGCAGGCTGGTGGGCCTCCGCGGGGACAGAAAGCCTCAACAGCATGTTCACAACCTTCGAGGGCAGCAGCGGAGCGAAGGCACAAGGACACTCGGCCGAGGCCAGCAGGTGGAACCAGTGCTCTGCCCCGAGCCCACGGCCTCCAGGTCCTCCCCACGCCCTGACACGATGGCCTGGCACTTCGGAGCCTGGGCACCCACGGACACCCGTGTTCACACAACACAGAGGCCTGTGGGCTGGGGGCGTCTCCTCCTTCCTGGGTATCTCCTTGTGAAATGCTAGCCCCGCTCATTTAACCACCTCACGCAGACGACGCGCTGTTTGGAAGCCACACGCTCAACCATGAGGACGGCTCCTGGCCTTCCTCCCACAGTCTAGGGCCAGTGGGAGCTAAGGGGGAGGTAACAGGCCCCGGGGTCTCTACAGGAAGGTGCGAACCCAAGTGTTCAAGGACAGCCAGGGGCTCTTTCACCCCCTTGTCTGCGTGGCCCTGCCAGCACGTGCGCCCGAGGGCGGCTGTATCTGCTGAGGGCCCGGCTGGAACAGGAGGTGCACTCAGGGCCTGCAGGGTGGGTGGGTGGTCAGACGATGGGTCCACAGGGTTCAGCCAGGCCCTCAGCCTAGGTGGGGACCCGGCACCAAGCGCAGAGCCTGCTCTCTGGACACGCGCTGCGGCGGCTCTCCACAAACGCCAGCCAGCGCCATCTGGCCAGGACAGACTCGCACCCCGAGGCCGGCTGTGAGAATGACAGGAAGTGGCCCCAGCTCCAGGGGTGCCCGCCGCTGCCGGGAGCCGCGCTGGGGCTCTGCAGCCCGACCTCTGCCCCGAGAAGGGAAGGATATAAGAGGGTCCAGGGGGGGTGGCCCCCGTTGATGTAGAGCACGTAGGTGAAGCCGTCCTTGAGGACGCCGCGGATGGAGTAGTAGTAGGGCAGGTAGTGGTGCTGCCGGAAGTCCCTGTTCTCGTAGAAGCTGATGGCGGAGCTGTTGGTGGTGAGCACGTGCAGGTAGATGGCCTTGCAGTGGTCCTGCGCCGTGCTCGAGATGTGGTCCTTCAGGCTCTCCAGCAAGAGGGAGCCTGCGGGGGGAGGGCGCGGGTCATGCGCAGGCAGCGGGCGCGAGGCGTGCCAGGCAGGTGCCCCGCAGAAATCCCCACGGACCCTCTGCCGCTGCATCCGGCGCCCGTGACACCCGCCCCAAAGCCCCGGAGAGTCCTGCTGCCCACAGGACCGTGCGGCCAGGACCGCGGGCTGCGGGCACCCTCCCGGGCGATGGGCCTGCACAGACTCGCCACCCCTACGACACCGGAGAGTGGACCCCTGAGGCCGGGAAAGCCCGGCAGAGACAGGCCTGGCCACAGGTGAGCTGGGGGTACAAAGAGGGAGGGGGACTTGGAGACACGGCTCCCCAGGGTGGCGGGTGTCCCGTAAATGGTGGAGGGGGTGTTTCTGCAGCTGCGCTCTCTGCAGCTGCTCGAGGACACCGCGTGAGCACGCCTCGGGCCCGATTCTGGAAGGAAAGAACTGAGACATGGAGCGAGAGGATGGGCTGAAGGTCGGCGGGCGGGGCGGGGCCGGCAGGCTTGCTGCAGGAGAAGGGGGGAGCCCGAGCTGGGGCCGCAGGAGGTGCTGGGCGCCCTTCACCTATGCCGTGCTTCCTGAACTCCTTCACCACTCCCAGGCTCAGGATGTAGGCGACCTGGGTGTCCACCGAGAAGCTGGAGGCCAGGATATCTCCATCCTGAAGGGAAGGCGGAAGTGAAGTCAGGCCGACGCCGCGCCCGGTCCCAGCTCGGGCGCCCTCGAGCCTGGATGCCCTGGCCACGGTCCCGGGGCCCCCAGGCAGGAGGGGACCGAGCCAGGAGGGTAACGGAGACTGAGGCTCACCGCTCCCACGGAGACAAGGGGGCCCTTCTGGGGGAAAAAATGACATCGGCCCCCACCAAAAAGTCGCTTTCCTGAGGGGCGCGTGGTGGGCCAGGAAGGCGCAGCGGGCGACCGGGCAGAGAGGACGGCACGCAGCGCGCGGAGCCCGCGGAGTCTGGAGAGGCTCCGCAGAGGGGCCCAGGCCGCCACGGTGTCTCCAGCCAAGGGCCCTCCCCAGCCCTCGCCCGCCCCGTGCGGAGCCTGGCGCAGAGACGGAGGGGGCCCTGCACACGGGCGCACAGGCAACCCGCGGGTGGCGGGCCGCTGCCAGGAGGGCCCGGAAGCGGGGGCTCCCCGACGGCGGCCCCTCGTCGCATGGCACAGCTCACCTCTTTGTGTATCTTGGTCCTACTTTTGATTTCAGCCACTATCATCCCCACGATGGCGCCCCTGTAGGTGGCGGCCAGGGAGAAGAACTTCTTGTTGGAGGTGATGTCCCGATACCATGAGTCTGGGTACCTGAAGAGGAGGACAAGGCAGGTGAAGCAGCCACGGGAAGCGCCATGAAGGTTGCGTCTCAGACAGTGGAGCCACGGTGGGCGCGGGGTTTCTCCCTCCAGGCCCCCACCGCAGCCTTCTTAGAGCAGCGCTCTGTCCAGCGGGGCTGGGGTTTCTGATGAAAAGGTGATTTTACGGCATGGAGATGAGCGGGAAAGCCGAGGGCACTGTCCCTGAGAGGACCTGGCGGCTGAGTCAGGAGGGAGGGCTGTGGGTGGCCCTGGGACACATGGGTGACCCCTCGAATTCTGCAGCTTTGGGATTTGGGAGAAGCAGCGTGGAGAGAGCCGCGTTCTCCAAGTGGCACCTGACTCCACAATGCTGTCCTGGGCAGGGTGGGGACAAGCCCTCGGGTGAGGCTGAGGCCAGAGCCGCCAGCGGCTGCTCACCAAGAACAAGGCCAAGCGCTCTCTGGGGGTTGTGAGGTGAGATCACTCAGCACGAGCCCCAGGGCACAGAGGTGACAGGCCAGTCACCGGGCGGGTGCGGAGGCTCTTGGGTGTGTGGGTTTGCTTCGTAACTCGGGACAGTCAAGCCAGGTTAGCTGGGACGCCTCTCCTGAGACCAAGAGCTAGAGGAGGCGGTGACCCCTCAGTGACGCAGCAGAGGGACTCAGCTCCACTGTGCAGAGGCCAATGATTGCCTCCTGCCAGGTTCCACCAGGCCTGAGCGTGCAAGCCCCCGCCCGGGCCTCCAGGCCTCTAGAAGCCTCGCTGACGCCGGCCAGAGGGACTGCAGCCCAGGCCTGTCTCGGAACCCGAAGCCTCAGGCCCAAGAGGCTGCAAGAAGAGGCAGCACCTGGGGGCTCTCCCCAGCCCAGGGCACTCCATGGGGTCACATGCCTCCTGACTGAGTTCTCTCGCCGCAGGAGCGCCACGTGTGTGTGACAGAGAAGTGGAGGAAACAGACAAAAAAGACACAGGACATCGCTGACGTGAGTGGTCTGGCCCCACGCCGGCCCCTTGCGCTCCCGGGAGCCTGTGCCTCGGGCATGTCGCGGCCGTGGTACACAGCGGGCCCCGGAGGGCTGGTCTCCAGCAGCACGTCCGAAGACGAGGGCTTGCCCAGACACCCCGACGGCCGACTCCAGGCCCACGGTCCTGCCGTCACGGCTCCCCGAGGCCTGCCCGCCCGCACGCCCGCCCCGATCCCCACCACGACGTCACAGCAGCACTGGCTGGACACCCGGGAGGCGATGGCTCCCAGCCACGCCCTTTTGGGGGCTCTTCCAGTCAGGAAGGAGGTGGGTGTGAAGGGCTGGGCAGCCATCGGGGAGCGGGCCGGGCCCGTGGCCCCTGAGGTGCCTGGTGCCCGCCTCCACCCGCGGCCGCGGCCCACTTACTCAATGGGGAACCAGTCTCCACACAGACGCTTCACGGTGTCTATGTCATCGCGGCAGAGGAGGCGCAGGCTGACCTCGCTGAGGGCGCTGGACGGCACCACCTCTGTCATCCACACCTGCAGGGAGAGGTATCAAGGGGGCGGCTGCACCCTCCTGGCCCACTGCCTGCCAGACACGTTCCCCGTGCCCGCTCCTACCTGGGCAGCCGACGAGGCGGGCAAGCCCACCCGCCCCCAGGGGGTCCCGGTCACATGTGGGGGTCGCCGTCCCTCCCACATCCCACAGCAGGCGTCACCACCCCTGCCGCTCAGGGAAGGAAACTGAGGCTCAGGAAGGGCTGGCGGGACCAGTGCTCAGGATGCCCTCAGGGCTCACCGGGGTGTCCCCAGCCCCACGGGGGGCAGCCCCTCTCTGGGGTCTCCTCTCAGCCCCAAGCTCCGTCAGGCTGCAGCCCGTCTCCCTGGCTGCTCTCGTGTCTCCCTCCCGCCCCGGCTCTCCAGGGCATGGGCATGGGCACTGGACCCGGATGGCAGCCCCAGGCCTCACTCCCTCGGGGGCAGCCTCACAGTCCCATGGCCGCAGGGGCCGTTCCTGGGGTCACAGGGCACAGCACTGGCCAGGTGGGTCATTGCTCCCCCCTACCCAGCAGAGGGAGACTCGGGACAGAAAAAAGGAGACTGTGGGAGAGACCAACACACAGTCAGGAGCGGCCCTGTGTTTCAGGGAAGGGCCAGGCTGCAAGTCCGTGCAAGTGGGCGCTGCAGCGGAAGCACCTGGCTCATGCACTCAGCAGAGGCTATCAGACCCCTGGGTCCAGAGTGCTGGGAGTGGGCGCAGGGCCCCCCAAGAAGCTGAGTATCAACAGCAGGGCCAGCTCAGGGCCAAGAAAATGAGGAAAGTCAAGAGGCCCCAGTCCATGGGCCTCCCTGGTGGCACAGCAGGTTGAGCGCAGCGCTGTGAAGCTCTGCCCGTAGCCTCTGCAGCGCGGGTTCGATTCCCGGCCCGCCAGGGAGATACCCACATGGCGCGGCAGACCTCTCCTGTCTCCCCGCTGCTCCCCTCAGCAGTGTGTTTCAGTCATCTGCCTGTTCTGCTCCCCACTCTGTCTCTGGTGAGTCCTTTCACCCTCCCGTGCCGCTGACCTGTACCCCAGTGCTTGTATACAAATAAATCTTGAAAAAAAAAAAAAAAGAAGCCCCTGCCCAAGCCCTGAGCCTGTGGAGCAAGTCAGCGGCGAGCGGGGGCGGTGTCTTCAGGGGGCAAGCAGACGCTTGCATGTGGGGGAGGGCGCCTCCGCGGAGGGTGGCATCTCGGCCATGGGCCATGGTGAAGGCCAGGGCACCTGAGACAGCGCCCCAAGCCTGGGACAGAGCCCCGCGGGCGGGGGAGGCCCCCTGGGCTCACAGCTCTGCACCAGCGTGGTTCTGGCTCAGGGTGACATGATCTTTGTTTCAGATTTTGCTCTTCCGTCTTCCTTTCTCGTCTGACGTCCACGTAAAGCGGGCGGAGGCGGAGGGCCGTTCTCGGGCCGTGCTCCTCCCAAAGGTGCTGGGCTGGCCTCGCTCAGGCACAGCCCCCGGCGGGTCTGGGGGCACATCAGAGCAGGGGTCAGGCCAAGAGTGTGCACACAGGAGGGCAGGGGTGGCAGGTCAAGCAGCAGAACGACAGGCCAGGTTTGGGGGGAGACGAGGAAGACGAGAGCCAAGAGTATGACCGGGGAAGGGGACACGGAACTGGGGCCAGAGATGCCGGGCCAAGGGCAGACCCTCCCGGGCGTGTGGCAGCGCCCTGCTGGCCCGCACAGTCACGCGGGGACCCTGGGCCAGCCGGGTTGGCTGCCCACGGGCTTGGCTGCCCACAGGCTCCTGGCCTGGTGGCTTTGCAGGCAGGGGCGGGGGGGGGGGGGTCCCAGTAGGACACCCAACTGGGGCGCCCTGAAATATGATCCCCGGTTCAGATCCCAGGTTGGTAACCAGAACAAACAACAACAAAAGCCCCTGTAATGAGGGGGGGGCCAAGAGGTAGGAGAGTGTCTGGGGGTGATGTCAACCGAGTTCTTGACCTGCACCCACACCCTGAGCGGGGCTGATGCCTGACCAGGTGCGGGGGCGGGGGGGGGCTCTTCCAGGCAACTGGACGCAGAGTGGGCGAAAGGGAACCCGCTCCTCAGTGCAGAAGGAGAAAGTGCAGGAGGGGCAGCGGCTTCCAGGAACCCCCCCCCTGCCACCAGGGGTTTCGCCTCACTTCTCGGGGTTTGCATTTAAGAGCCTTCAGAATTAAGTCGATGTTAAACATGAAAGTGGGTCAGCTTTGGCACAAATGAGCACTTGATCACAGGCTAGCTTTTACAGCCAAAATGATTTTTAAAAGCTCAACCACCTGCCGGCATTTGCTCCTGGCGCGAGGAGCAGCTGTCTGCCGCGCGCTGCTCATTTCTGTGTGGAAGAGCTGTTTCAAAATGAGCTCAGGAAGAAAGACTTCAGGTGGCGTGTGGAAACGTGAACACATTTCCCTGTGAAAATAACTGAACCGTCTGCTTTTTAATTTGTAACAACCTGGAGATTTTACTGCATCTCTTCAAATTACAGGTAGAATGATGACCCATTTTGCCCCCAAATAAACTCTCCTAGCATCGCCTTGTAAACCTCGTGCCCTGGAATAGCACCGGTGCCCAAAACAAACCCGCCAACAGCGCGCCCAGTGAGGAAGCAGGGGGCACTGCGCCCGGCCGCCAGCACTGGCGAGGTACGTCCAGGGCGCCCGCGAGCCATCACAGGGCGGTCCTGCAGTCACGCGAAATCCAAGCTTTAAAAATATTTGCAAGTATGGCCTCCCCTGGTGGCGCAGCGGTTGCGCGCTGGGCTGCGAGGCTGCCTGCAGCCTCTGCAGTGCCGGTTCGATCCCGGGCCGCCGGCGAGGGTCCCACAAAAAAAATTTTACAAGTTTGGGGCCTCCCCTGGTGGCGCAGGCGGTCGAGCACAGCGCTGCGCAGCTGTCTGCAGCCTCCGCGGTGCCAGTTTGATTCCCGTTCCGCCTGGGAGAGTCCCACATGGCACCACAGACCTCTCCTGTCTCCCCGCTGCTCCCCTCAACAGTGTCCCTCTGCCTGTTCTGTTCCCCGCTCTGTCTCTGGTGGATCCTCTCACCCTCGCACACCTCTGGCCTGTACCCCAGTGCTTGTATAAATAAATAAATCTTAAAAAAAAAAATTTGCAACCTTGAAGACAACCATAAGAAAAAAAAGACTTTAAAGAGACAGTCCCCTTTTCTTGAAGGAGGAAAAGGCGCTTCTAGGCCTTTCTCTTTACTCTGTACACACACTCCTGGTGCAGTCAGAGCCCGCCAGGCCTGTAGTGGGAGACGCGGAGGGCCTGCTGGGCTGCCCTCGAGAATCACTGCTCAGGCCCTCTTGAGTCTCCTACAGAAGAGCTAATCTCTCTAATGGGAATGGGCGAGGGTGCGGGGCACACTCCCGGGTGGGAGCTGAGCTGTGTGTACACCACGACCACCCCAGCCCGGCCCTTTGCACGCATATTTCCCTGAGCAGGTTCCGAGCCAGAGTGCCAAGGGGAGGCGACCTAACTGCGACCTAGAAGCAGAAGCCAGGGCACACCTGGGCACGGGGCCCACAGGGGTGCCGCAGCCCCTGCCTGGGAGAAGCAAGGTCGGCGGGGGCTCCAGCGCTCCCATGGGCACCACGAAACTTTCGAGCACCAACACGGTGCTGCGGGCGCTGCGGTGCTCGCCGTCTTTGGGGATCCGCCCGCTGACTGCGATGAAATCGCTGTCTGTCTGTCTGTCCCGGTGGGTTCCGAGGTGGGTTCAGCGCTTCCACCTTGCGGCGCAGGCCGTTCCTCGGCTGCACAGACAGGCGCCTCAGACTGGGCGTCTGATGGCCACCACGACCCAGAAGCGAACCGCAAGACCGGCCCTGGAACGGCAAAGCGCCGTCCTCTCGTTCTTCCTGCAAAAGCAGAGCCTTCCCTGTCCACGCCGTCCCCTCTGCTGCTTCCTCTCAGCCGGCTCCCTGTCCTGGGCACTTATTTCCCACATCGCTGCCAGGAGGTAAAGTCATTGTGAGGCAACGAGCGCTACTCACCACCAAGGAGTTTAAAAACTCCGCGAGGTCCACACAGGGGGCCCAGGCTGGAGTGTTTGGAGTCTGCAGTTGGGGGATGTGGCTGGGGCTGACCTGTTGCACGCGCTGCCCGACCACCTAAGATCCGCACTGTGGCCACCCAGGGTGACAGTCAGTACCTGCCAACCCCCGCCCTGGGGCAGGAGGGCCATGGAGCACCTGGGCCAACTGCTGGCCTGGACTGCGGAGCACTTCCTCAGCAGGCCCCGCCCCAGCCCGCGGACGCCCTTCCTGCCACGCCTGTCCCTGAGCAAAGGTCTGAGGGTCAGAGGAAGAGAAACCCCCACAGGTGCTCACTGGGCTGTCAGACCTGCAGATCCCGCCGTAGTCAGCAGTGGGGGAGCTGGGTGCCCCAGGAGACACAGAGGGAGAGTCTGGAGGCAGGAGATGCCCCCTTCAGAGAAGACGCTGCCTGGGGGGCAGCTGGCTCTCGGCTGTCCCAGACCAGCGGGGGCTTCGCCCTGGACTCAGCCCCGAAGACTCCCGACTACATCGTGGGGCCTTTGCTCACAATGATGGTCAGCCTCCTTTCAAGTGTCTGTGACCCCCTCAAACCCCCTAACCCGGGCAATGTCCCTCCATCCCGCGTGGGCAAGCGGCGGCGGAGCCAGGTCAAGGCCAGCAGGGGTGTTGTTATGACACACACAAGCGCGCCGCCAAACACACACAGGGACAGTCACTTCCAGCCGCAGCCCAGAGAGGCTGAGAGGACCCGGGACATTTTTAGGAGGGTATTTTCTGTCCGGGCCTGCTGACACTGGCTGCGGCTTCGTTCCTCCGCGGGTTTTACTGTCTTCAGGGATCCCAGGGTCGGGCCAGCTGAGTGGGACCCTCCGCCCTCCCTCCCGCCCTCTGCACCTGAATTCCTGGCAGGTCCCTCCTGGAAGAGGGGCCGGCGCCACATGCCCTGCTGACGTCTGTCCGTCTGCAGAGAGACAGAACTCACATCCCAGCCCCCTCCAGGCGCTTTTAACCTTCAACCCCTTCAACCCCGGCCCCGGGAGCTTAAGGCGAGTCATCCCCGGAGCTTAAAGCGAGTCGCCCCCGAGCTTAAAGCAAGTCGGGACTCTGAGAGCGCAGGACTCTGTTCGGTTCCGGCCTGTGTCAGTCGCGCTGGTGTTCAAGGCTCCCCCACTCCGGCCCGGCTCGCGCCCCGGCACCCCCCGCACCCCAAGCGCTTCCTGGGGCGCCGCGGCGTCGGGGTGCGGGCTCCGGTCAACCGCGAGGCCGGCTGCGACCTCCGGGCTCCGGACGGCCGCGGTGGGGGGGGGGCGCCGCGCCCTCGCCCTTCGGGGCAAAGTGAGTCTCACCGAGCGGGAGCCGGGGCTCCGGCGCCGGGGCCCCGAAGGGCAACGTCCCGCCCCCTGCGGGGTGACTCGGGGCGCTGCTCCCCGCCCGGGCTCCCCGCGGTCCGGGCAGGCCCCCCGCTGCCCCGTCTCCCCGGGGGGCAAGGGCGGGGGCCCGGGAGCTCCCGGCAGCGTCGGGGCGCCCGGCCGGCGCGCGGGCAGGAGGCGGGGCCGGCGCCGGGAGCCCCGCGGGGCTCGGCGCGGGCACCTGCGCGCAACAAGTGCCGGGCGGAGCGCGGGGCCGGGGCGGCGGCAGCGCCCCGGGAGCCGCCGGCCCTCCGCTCGGGGAGCCCCGCCGGGCGGGGCGCCGGACCCCGCGAGCCGACGCGCCCGTCGTCCCGGGCCCGGCCCGGCGAGCCCGGCCGAGGCCGCCCCCCGCCCCCGCGGGCCGGGGTCCCCCGCCGGGCCCGCGCCCGCCCCCCCGCCCCGGCGGGACCTCACCTCGGGCGGGAGCCGGCGGCAGCGGAGGGGGGGGGCGCTCAGCGCATCCTGGGGTCGCCGCGCGCGGGGAGCGGGGCCGCGCGGAGCCCGCAGAGTTATGTAACCCGCAGGGGCCGCAACCGGGACGGAGGCGGCGGCCCGCGGCACTTCCGCCTCCCGCGCCGGGCCGGCGGCGCAGCCGGAAGCCCATTGGCCACGGGCGCCCACGTGGGCGCCGCCTCCCGACGCCGACGGCGCCATCTTCGAAGAGGGCGGGTCTCGCGCGAGGCGGGGACGCCGGTGGGCGGGGCGGGAGCCGGAGCCTCGGTTCGGCCCGCGCCCTGCGCGCGGCTCCGGTTCTGCGCTGACCCTTCCTTTCCTGGTGGGAACGCGGGTCCCGGCCTGGTGTGGGGAGGCAGCACCAGGCCTGTCTCCCCACGAAGCCGTGTCGGGCCGGGGCGGGCGGCCCCCCAGCCGCAGGAGGGGCTCTGGCGCGGGCTCTGGTCAGTGTTGTCGCGAGGGACCCGTGTGCAGCAAAATCTGACGCTCGCCTTAGCGCAGCTGGGTCTTCGCTTTCGAACAGCCCACATCGCCGGAGGGAGGACCAGAACCTGCTCACAGCCAGAGACTAGAATGGTCAGCCCTGGAGGGACTGAATTCGTACCCAGCAGACTCCGCGTTCTCGCAGGATAAAGCACTGTGCACACCCCGTGAAGTAACGCCGTGTCAGAATGTTTTTAAGAAGCACATTCTAGGCCTCCCTGGTGACGCAGGGGTTAAGTCAGCACTAGGAAGCTATCCACAGCCATCCCTGGCCAGGGAGCTGACCCCCAGGCAGGGAGCTACCCACATGGCGCAGCAGGCCTTTCCTGTCTCCCCGCTGCTCCCCTCAGCC